TTGTACAGAGATAGAGATGGCCTTGTACAGAGATAGAGATGGCCTTGTACAGAGATAGAGATGGCTTTGTACAGAGATAGAGATGGCCCTGTACAGAGTTAGAGATGGCCTTGTACAAAGATAGAGATGGCCCTGTACAGAAATAGAGATGGCCCTGTACTGAGATAGAGATGGCTCTGTACAAAGATAGAGATGACATTGTACAGAGATAGAGATGGCCTTGTACAGAGATAGAGATGGCCTTGTACATATATAAGACCTGTTGCTGTTACCCACTGTATGATCGTATGAGGCGACACACACAGGGTCCCAGATAGAGTCAGGGACATTAAAGAAACCATACTTGCTGCTCTGAAGGTAAGAGTTCGGATCTTTATCTTTCTGATTTGCTCACTATTTTTACAACTTTACAACTTGTTTCTTGGCACCCCAAGCACTTACCCATTTTCCTACGTACGAGTACTATACACATTTAAATATCAGAACATACGTTTGTGCCATTCTGATTCTCATGGATTCTTCAATTTGGAGTTTTAATACTAAATTAAAAAGAAACGGCAAATACCAATATACTAGGTGATAATGCAAAATAAAATCTCCCAACTACATGTAGTACACACTATGGAAATTGTTGTTCGAAATGTATCAATATGGATACTGTGCTTTTACTGTATTTGTTTGACAAACACAAGATAAGCGTGGTAAGATACAATATTTAAACATCCTTGTATTGTGATCATTGTTTACAACTTACGAGTAAATCCGACTGAGTTGAACAGTACCGACCACACCTACACACAGGTTAACCAGACTGAGGTTGACGTTCCGCGGGATAATTATCAGAGAATACCTAGCCCAAATAAAGCCTGAAAAATATAGCAACCTTATAAAGCTAAGAATTGTTTCCTTTTAAATAATTGAATATTGTGTTAGTCGATTCAATAGGTTGATGTCCCGGTCTTGTAATAAATATACTTCTTAAAGAAAATATGTTTTAATCCAACGTTTCTATCATATCAAGATTAAATGGTAAGTGCGTTCTTTAATTTGTCAATATCTCAATAAACCACGACCAACATTCTGTTTTTGGCGAATTTATATATCTAGACTGTGTGAAATCAGACTCATATCACGTGCATAGAAAACGTGCGTTAGTCAGGTGTTTGCATGCACGATGGAACAGCCAAGTTACAAAAGTTTACTGATTTTACTAGTATTACTGATGTTACTAGTATTACTGATGTTACTAGTATTACTGATGTTACTAGCAATGCTAATGTTACTAGTATTACTAATNACCATACTATCACCATACCATACTATCACCATACCATACTATCACCATACCATACTATCACCATACTATCACCATATGATCACCATACTATCACCATACCATACTATCACCATACTATCACCAACCATACTATCACCATACCATACTATCACCATACTTTCACCAANGTGAAATCAGACTCATATCACGTGCATAGAAAACGTGCGTTAGTCAGGTGTTTGCATGCACAATGGAACAGCCAAGTTACAAAAGTTTACTGATTTTACTAGTATTACTGATGTTACTAGTATTACTGATGTTACTAGCATTGCTAATGTTACTAGTATTACTAACGTCACAAGTATTACTGATGTAACTTGTAATACTGATGTTACTAGTATTACTGATGTAACTTGTAATACTGATGTTACTAGTATTACTGATGTAACTTGTAATACTGATGTTACTAGTATTACTGATGTAACTTGTAATACTGATGTTACTAGTATTACTGATGTAACTTGTAATACTGATGTTACTAGTATTACTGATGTAACTTGTAATACTGATGTTACTAGTATTACTGATGTTACTTGTAATACTGATGTTACTAGTATTACTGATGTAACTTGTAATACTGATGTTACTAGCATTGCTAATGTCACAAGTATTATTGATGTTACTAGTATTACTAATGCCACAAGTATTACTGATGTTACTAGCATTGGTAATGTTACTAGTTTTACTGATGTTACGAGCATTGCTGATGTTACTAGTATTACTGATGTTATTAGTATTACTGATGTTACTAGTATTACTGATGTTACTAGTATTACTGATGTTATTAGTATTACTAATGTCACAAGTATTACTGATGTTACTAGTATTACTGATGTTACTAGCATTGCTGATGTTACTAGTATTGCTGATGTTACTCGTATTACTGATGTTACTAGTATTACTAATGTCACAAGTATTATTGATGTTACTAGTATTACTGATTTTACTAGTAAGACTAATATCACAAGTATTACTGATAATACTAGCATTGCTGATGCTACTAGTATTACTAATGTCACAAGTATTACTGATGTTACTAGTATTAGTGATGTTACTAGTATTACTAATATCACAAGTATTACTGATAATACTAGCATTGCTGATGTTACTAGCATTGCTGATGTTACTAGTATTGCTAATGTCACAAGTATTACTGATGTTTCTAGTATTACTAATGCCACAAGTATTACTGATGTTACTAGCATTGGTAATGTTACTAGTATTACTGATGTTACTAGCATTGCTGATATTACTAGTATTACTGATGTTACTAGTATTACTAATGTCACAAGTATTTTTGATGTTACTAGCATTGCTGATGTTACTAGCATTACTGATTTAACTAGTATTACTAATGTCAAAAGTATTATTGATGTTACTAGCATTGCTGATGTTACTAGCATTACTGATGTTACTAGTATTACTAATGTTACTAGTATTACTAATGTCACAAGTATTACTGATGTTACTAGTATTACTAATGTCACAAGTATTACTGATGTTACTAGTATTGCTGATGTTACTAGTATTACTGATTTAACTAGTATTACTAATGTCACAAGTATTACTGATGTTACTAGTATTACTGATGTTACAAGTATTACTAATATCACAAGTATTACTGATAATACTAGCATTGCTGATGTTACTAGTATTACTAATGTCACAAGTATTACTAATGTTACTAGTATTAGTGATGTTACTAGTATTACTAATATCACAAGTATTACTGATAATACTAGCATTACCTAATGTCAAAAGTATACTAATCTCACAAGTATTACTGATGTTACTAGCATTGCTGATGTTACTAGCATTGCTGATGTTACTAGTATTACTGATGTTACCAATATTACTAGTGTTACTTGTATAACCGATCTTACTAGTATTTCTGCTGTTACTACTATTAGTGACGTTATCAATATTACTTATTTTTTTCTATGCAAGATTAACTACAACACATCTCTAAAATGTTGGCAGGCGGTAATTACGGTGTTATTTAGTTAATATATGAACTTTATAAAGAAGATCCAAAATGTAAAACGAAATCAAAATTAGTCATGAAGAGTTCTTCCTTCACTTACCACTAAGTAGGGCGGTAGACTGCATCAGACTGAGCTTATCAGCGGGGCGGGCTACATCTCCCAAACCCGCAACCACAAGGACCTATTAATGACGTCACAAAATATATTAACTTAACCGTATTTAAATGAAAATAGGAAAAGAAGCATGCATATAGCGTCAACAGGAGAGAACAAAATGAAAAAATAACGACAAGGACAGAAGACACCAATGATATAAGGTGACAGTATTCCAGCCTAAATGATCCAGTCTATCGTTTTTTTTCATGTTTGACTGCTGACGTATTGCACACTAATTCATGCTTTTATGAAATGCTTATTTATTCAGATCAAACAATTATGAAAATATCACTAATTCCAATGTCCCTGAATGTGAAACTTAATAGATATTCTCTTGGTTATAATAACTGAAATGTAAATATGTATGTTTTGGGACAAAATGATCATATTCACACAAAACATAATTTATCATCATTATTTATAACACATTTAGAAAGGTTTTATTAAATCTTTTAGCCAAATGTATCATTAGATTAAAGTAATTCATACAAACGCTTTCAAGCTGATAAGACAGTGTTTGTGTTATAATGTCAAAAACGCCAATCAAACTAAACCCCCGTCATATTAAACTTAATACAAGACAGTCAAAGCTGAGACGTGCGTATACGTAATATCAAAAATATTGTTGAGGAAATTAAAACCTAGTTGCACCAAGCTTAATCAGTCTAATGGATATCATACCATCACCATACTTATCACCATACCATACTATCACCATACTATCAACATACTATCACCATACCATACTATCACCACACTATCACCATACCATACTATCACCATACTATCACCATACTATACTAGCACCATACTATCACCATGCCATACTATCACCATACTATCACCATACCATGCTATCACCATACTATCGCCATACCATACTATCACCATACCATACTATCACCATATGATCACCATACTATCACCATATGATCACCATACTATCACCATACCATACTATCACATACTATCACCATACAATCACCATACCATACCATCATCATACCATACTATCACCATACTATCACCATATCATACTATTATCATACCATACTATCACCATAATATAATCATACAATACTATCACCATACTATCACCATACTATCATCATACCATACTATCACCATGCTATCACCATACTATCACCATACTATCAACATACTATCACCATACTATCACCATACCATCACCATACTATCACCATACTTATCACCATACTATCACCATACCATCACCATACTATCACCATACCATACTATCCCCATACTATCACCATACTATCACCATATCATCCTATTATCATACCATACTATCACCATAATATAATCATACAATACTATCACCATACTATCACCATACTTTCACCATACTTATCACCATACTATCACCATACTATCACCATACTATCATCATACCATACTATAACCATACTATCACCATACTGTCCTCATACTTATCACCATACTTATCACCATACTATCACCATACTATCACCATCCTTATCACCATACTATCACCATACTATAACCATACTATCATCATACCATACTATCACCATACTATCACTATACTCTCACCATACTTATCACCATACTATCATCATACTTATCACCATACTATCACTATACTATCACCATACTATCACCATACTATACTATCACTATACTATCACCATACTATCACCATACTTAGCACGTTGTTTGATTGGTTTCGGGCGAGTGTCGTTAACAGTGTTATTACAGAAATAGTGATACCAGGGAATGTTTAACTACACATTTCCTAAAACTCATTAAGGAAAGGCACAATGTTCATATATCTTTAAGAAAACATCATTTAATTTTTTGTTGGGCTAAAAACTATTTCACTTTCTTTAACAGACTTGTCTATGATATGCAATTCTAGTACATGTCGCTGTTAACTTGTAATCTCAATACATATTTAGTTCAATCTATCATAACATGAAATACCATACAACAAACTAAACCAAATCAAAAGAAGTACAATTAAGTTATTTTAGCTTGATATATAACATCATAAAGTTACCAAAAATGTTTCATGGTTACAAGATAAATATAAGTGTTATAAATGAATAAATCAATTTGATTTTTTGACATACTACTTGAATACAATTAGGCACGTGGTTCACTATTCGCATTATGCACGTAAGTTTCAATCATACAATTGGATAAGCACAATAAAGTCATTACTACTAGGGAATACCGAAGTGTCTACAAAACGGTAAGACGAATGCAAAATTGATAGAACTAGGGGAAAGTAGGAACGTCGATTGGTAGAACTAGGAGAAAGTAGGAACATCGATTGATAAAACTAGGGGAAAGTAGGAACATCGATTGATAGAACTAGGGGAAAGTAGGAACATCGATTGGTAGAACAAGGGGAAAGTAGGAACATCGATTGATAGAACTAGGGGAAAGTAGGAACATCGATAGAGGATTTACATAAGACTCTTGGAAAAGGACAAGAAGTTTAACACCAGAAAGATAAGCGTCTTCTGCTTTATCGATGACACATGCAATGTAAATCTTTATCCATTCCCAATAATGTCACTTCAACAAAGCGAGAACCGCGGTAATAACAACGAAACAACAAGGCACTATAATAAGCGTAACAAAAAATTAAACGTCGACCAGCATATCACACAACGAAACAGCACATTTCCCTATGATATCATAATGGCAACCACAGTTTATGTCCTCAGTCTTTATAAACCTGAATATATCGAAACCCCGTGTTTTTGTCCGTCTGCATTCGTCATCTATGAAGAAGAGTCTGCAGTAACTTTTATTTCAAATAATTGAAGGTCTGACGATAGTAGCAAGTAATCTACGATGGACGTGGTAAATTACTTCCCTGTTATTTAAAGATAACACGTTGACGATATATCTGAAAGGGAAATTTAAGGACTTGGATTTTTTTTTTTTTTTCAGTCTGTCTGATCACTCTTGAATAAATAAATTCACTCTTATTTATGTAATCTAAAAACTTTTCGTCTGGCATTATCAGTTTGTTTATATGTGGTATGTAAACATTTTATATAGTAGAGTAGTTGTGATTAAGACAATATAATACAGGTACGTTAATATCGCAAAGGTATGATATTTTCATATAGGTATGATGACATCACACAAGTATGCTAATATCGGAGGCACGGTAGTTTAGTGGTTGGACGCCGGGCTCGAGACAAACGGGTTGCGGGTTCGAGTCACGGCACGGTACTGTGTTGTTTCTTTGAGCAAGATACTTTACTCCGCTTGTTCCAGTCTACTCAGCTGTAAATGAGTACGTGGTTGGGCAGTGCTAGAATTGTTGAATGCTAGCTGTGAGCGCCGAAATGGCAGCACCGGCTGTAAGCTCCCCGGGGAGTTGAGAAATATATTGGCAGGTTGCAAAGGCCCTATAACCACGGATAATAACTTGTGAACCACTTTGAGACGACCTACGATGTGATAAAGCGGTATTTATTATAGTATTATATGATTAAACAAAGTAAGTATGAAATAAGGTTTTACTGATATCACTCGGGTAGATCAATACTCACGATGGTACACAATTAACAAAGAAAAAACAAAGTAATACAAAATTCGTGTCTGTAGGGCAATGATGTCAAATGCTATGTAAAGAAGCTATGACATTATTTTTTGCCACATATGGTTGAAACTCTTACTCGAAAACCTTCATAAAATATTCCTTTCTCTTTTACGGTTTAGCAGTCAACATAGTGTTATAGTCTAACCATTCTACCATTATACCTCAAACAAATTGCAAAAGAAACAAACACAGTTGTAATAAGTAGATCGTAGAACATGCATGGAGAAAAGAGACGTACTCCTTTTATTTTTATTTATTTTTTATTCATATCAGTCAATGTAGGTTATATCCTACTCAAATATAACAACACACATAAAACACTATTCACTAGGGTCACATATAAATATTCTCTTTTTTGAAAGAATAATCTGACCAAGAATGGCTGTGCCTAAAACAACAAATGAATAAAATATAAAACATTAATTACATCAAAAATTTAATCTTACTAAATTAATAACATGTAAAATTATTACTGTTTTCTAAATCAACAAAAACACAAACGTTTATTTTGTACATGTAATTTTACATTCTTCTCGGTCCTATATTATTGTTCGTCTACAGTATACAGATATTCTACTCAGATGACTGAGATATATTTGGTCTATTTGGCCGCACCGGTCCAACTGGATAAAGGGTATTACAACTAAAACCCCTAAGACAATGACTAAAAGTAGACAAGACATTTGACCCGACGATGTTGCAGTCACTTTCATTCACATGATTCAGGCATGCGCAATTAAAATCCCTCCAGTATCTACGGTGCGGAAGGCTGGTTTCGCCGCATACTAACTCGTGGGATAATACTATATAATATGAAACCATGGTACTTTCACAGATATATAAATAACTTGGGACTATTTTTCTATTCCACTTGAATCTTCTTTATCTAGCCGCCCGTGAAACGCCTGCCGTCTACCTATGTTCTGCCTCCATAGATCATACATGAATTGCTTGATTGTACAATGTAAGTCAGGCGCACCATCAAACAGTGCATCTTCATGCCCTATCCAAGTATTTAATTATTCTTAAGATCATCTAATAGATCTACAGGGAAGAATGACACAAATCTTAAAGTTCACGTCGCTACTGAATTTTTATTTTTGGGCGTTTCCCGATTCGGTACTTTTTCGTTGAAAAACAGTTCTATTTTAATGTGAGAATATAGTCCACGTGATGTGAATGCACATAATATAATCACACAAACGCCTAGTTTCTGCATACAAACGTACATTTAAGCAGTATTATGGGACCAATCCCTCCGTTGAAACCCACTGAGAACAGGTTATAACAATAGCAGATTCTCCGTCAATAGTGTATATGAAGTCCTAAGTAGGTAATTGTCACGAGTTTACAAGTAGTTTTCATACCCCGATATCAGTTCCTCTGTCCATTTGTCCGTCTGATAGCAGTTACTCTGTCCATATGTTCGCCCGATAGCAGTTACATGTGCTATGTCAATTGTCCGTCGTTCTGACCGTCCGTTCAACGGTGATTGTAACTTCAATCGGTCAAAGGAGCTACTTCTTATAATATTTATATAACATCGCAGGTGGAAAAATTCCAAGTATTAATATAAAAAAAAAATGACAGGACGGTTTGTCAAATACAACATACAATTCCATCCGAGATCAACATTTAAGGTCTTTGCGAGGGAGCAAAGGTCACATAAAGAAACATAAATTAAAAACCGACAAAAACGTTTTGGTCAGTGGCGTTAATACATGTAAGCTTGCTAAGTTGCCAGTTAAGTAGATAAAAGTAAGGGTATAATGTCGTGACCACAATTTATCTCGCGAACACGACATGGTATCATGTAGAAGCTACGGCCTGTATCTAGATATAAGGGAGATACATGTAACTCTTAAAGTCATTTTTGTAAACTTACCCATTTGAAACACGGAGCCCAAAAGAATATAGTTTTAGGACCTATGAAAAAATAAAAAAACCACATATTAACAATAGACTGCTACAAAGCGTCATGAATAAAATTTCAAAGACTTTTTAAGTTAAACGGAACTTGTACATACATATTTGAGAGTATAATTGGAGACAATATAAACTCTATTATTAACTATGGAAAAGAATTTATAAAAAAGAAAGCAAGCCTGATCAGAAACCTTTTTTGGAAGGAAGTTTTAAATGACCAATACTGCTTTTCCAATACTGTGGACGAGGACGATAATATTTATCAACATTTATGGTATAATAATAAAATAAAGATTGATAGCAAACCAGTGCACTTTAAACTATCGGAAGAACAAAATATACTGTATGTATACGACTTATTAAATGAAAGAGGAGAATTAATCCAGTCATTCGAAATGAAATGCTATCATATCTGCTTGGAATGTAATACAAGATAGACCGCACACCTTTATGCTACCCCAATGCCCAAAACACATATATTGTATAATAACAAACAAACAAAGAGGAATGTCAATATATCATTTATTGATCAAAGACTTAAAAACAAACAATAAACATAAAATGAAATGGTCTACTGAACTTGACTTAGCAGAAAATGATATATGGTGGAGAAAAATTAACGTAATTCCATTTAAATCAACGATTGAATGTAAACTACGATGGTTCCAATACAGAATAGTGCATAGAATCAAAAGTACTAATAATTATCTGCATATGATTAAAATAAACGACTCTCCGTTATGCACCTTTTGCAATGGACATACTGAAACATTAATCCATTTGTTTTGGGAATGCAGAATAGCAGAAAACTTTTGGGATGAACTAAAATTATGGCTACAAAACAAAACCAATAAAATTATACAACTCCAGAATAATGATGTAATACTAGGCAAACTGATACATAAACAAGAAATAAGATCTCTAAACACTATAATTATAATCGCTAAATTCCACATTTATAAGCAAAAACCGAGAAAATGCATACCAAGTATTTTAGGTTTTAAAACAGAACTGGACAGGTATATACAATATGAAGAAATCATAGCAAAAAAAACATGGAATACGAAAAATTTAAAAAAAATGGTCCCAAATTCAATAATCAATGCCGCAGTCCTGTAGACCGAATAGAATTACCACATACAACATATCATGTGCACGTATATTGTGAAAATGTGAGAATGCGTGAGTGAGAGATATGTTGATGTAGATTAAAAAAAAATAAAAAAAACACCACTTTTTACATGCACAATGAATCCTTTTGAATGCCTGATAACTATATTAAATACCATAACGGGAACAAAAATACAGTAAACACCTTCCTGAGTCATTAATAAAAAATAAAAAAAATAAAAACAGTGTCCAGGAAAAATATAAGATGGGCAGTCAAGAGGAATTTTCAATGTATATTGTTCACAGATCTATATATTTATATACCAGATACAATGTATATTAATTTTAACATGTACAATATACTGTTAAATGTATAATATGCAAAAGGTTGAATAAAAACATGTTAATTTGAAAAAAAAATTAAAAAAAAAAAAAAAAAAAATCAGATATCGAAAAGAAAACAAAAAACAGACGACAAAATGATAAATAACAAAACGCGTGTTGCATTTTTCTGATTTTGGTTCAGTAGGAATAATTTGTTGCTTACTCAGCACGTTTGAACATGGTTCACAGAATGAGGTGTTAGCAAACTATTGCTCACCGTATTGTTTGTATGTGTGATTTAAAACAAGAATGATCTTAATTATGGTAATTGTATTCATCTGAAAATGATAAAATCAGTTGCACTCGGAATATAAACGGACAGAATTATCAGTGGTCACATCGACACATCTCTCGTTGAAACTGACTTCCTGTTTCTGTAATCTGTTATACTGGCAAACCAGATTTAAATGTGTTTCAAAGAAAAATTGTAATAACATAAACACACCTTTAAACTGCCCTATATAACTTGTTATCCAAACCCCCGTCCAAACGCAAACTACCCACGCTTCTGTCAATATATTTGATAGTTTTGATTCTTCTTTTTTTAGCTAAGGCACCTGGGCATACGACAACTTCATCTTCTCTTAAATTCTATCAAAATTGTTTAATGCAAAATCTCTCTGCAATATCATTTCAATGTATTTTATCATCGGTAATGAACTCCGGTTAAAAACAAATAGTTTATACTTATCTCCAATCTGAATGTGTGTAATGGCTCTGGAAACAACAATCAGGATGAATATCTATGGAGTGGTGTTCATATTGTTTATATATAGCATTGTAGAAACCATAAAAGTACGGTTGCCAAAGTTTGCATAAACAAAAAGAGGCCCTTATCTTTAGCATCGCCTTACAAACTTCCAAATAAGGGAATCTGGATTCAGCTCAGTATCAACTGAACGTTTTTCACAAATAGATTTAATTGATAAAGAGATTCCCCAACGAGTGATGGTTGGTTATCATAACTTAAGTATCAACTTGAATAAAGACACGAGGTTTACCAAGTGTCTTTTACAATTTTAAAATTAACCAACGAGAGGTAGACAAACATGATAATCTATCATCACGAGTTTGGGATCCTTTTTCTTTCATATTTTATCTGGAAAGCCATATGTTTCCCTTGAAAATACACTGTGTAGGCTTCTGATGGGAGAAACAATTGCCGTGAATCATGACGTCAAAATGGAAGATGACGTCGCAAAGCATGGTTACGTGACGTCATAAGTAAACAAATGACCAACGAAATCACGTCCAGGGTGTTACCCACTAGTAGGTAACCAAAAATGTTTACCCACTGAATCGGGAGTGAGACTGATTAACAGCACATTGAATATGTTATTCCAAAACAAAACAAGGATAAATCCCCTCGGTACACAACAGGGAAGGTGCCCAATGATATTAGCTTGATCTTGGCCAAGAAGATATACATATCGACTTCCACAGAGCGACAATAAAACATTAAATGGCTTTATTTTAAACAATCCTTAGTTGGGGTGATCTGCTTTATCCCGGGACTAGGTTACCATAAAACTGTTTTTAATGCCAAGCTATTTAGAAGGATCAATTAGCCCAATAAGACAATATCATATCTGTAGAAAATGTGTTCAAACAATTTCGAAGATGGCATATCACACCTAATCGCATTCCATGTCCATCTGAACTTACAACTACCATATTCCGTCTTTGCGTATTGCAGAGTTATCTTATCTTGGGAGCAGGTATTGATTGTTACGTCATTGGTTTGTGTGAGAAAATTACCGTCGTTTTCTCAAAATTTGATGACATTACTCTCACAAACAAGTGACGTAACAATCCATACCTGCTCCCAAGATAAGATAACTCTGCAATACGCAAAGACGGAATATAGCAGACTTCGATCAACTATGCAGCATTACCAATTCATCAATATGACTTAATTGTACAAGTGAACATTGAAATCCAATCAATAAACAAAAAAGACGTGAAAGAAAGGAAACACAGCAGAAAGCTCACAACACTTTGTTAAATGCAGTTTTCATCTAGGAATGCACCAAATTGTAGTAAGGGTAGTCTCTTATACAATAACCATTTACCATCAACAATATACAATGCTGCAACAATCAACATGACCTTTAGCCGGAGTTTATTTTGGCGCAGTTAACACGAGGTACAATGTACCAAATTAGTTATAAGCTATCTGTTATAGTGATTTTATTTATTTGTGACTTTATAAAGGTTTATATATCTCAACACATTATACATGGAGTTTCATACTTTTCACTTGACTACCACTGGTGAATCCCGAATGGGCAAAATGGCCATATAGAGGAGTTAAATGTTTTCTTTATTTTTCCGCATTGACAATCAATTATTTTAAATATGGGGCTTCCCTTCCGTGATGTTGCTTCTTGATAAGCATGGTGTACAAAACGGTAAGGTATTTTGATATAATAAAAACCAAGCTAGCTGTTTTATTCATTTTTCACCCAAACATAAATATATTCATTGTCATGTCCCCATCTAAAAAACCGCTACGTTAAACAGTACCTTTCAAGATGTGTTACCGCCCATTATGGAGTAATGGTGTGGACGGGGCTCTGTTTCATACATGTCTGTACAATCATAAAAGTTAAAAAGATGCATTTAATTTCAGAAACAAATACTGTTTGTCAACGCCTTGGCAGGTACGATGTAACAGACCACAACGTCTCAGTATGTAAGTTCAGAATCTAGACTGGCTATCTCAACTACCTGTGTATACAAAACGTGCTCTAGCATATTTTTGAAATAAATAAATATTTGACAACACTGTGTAGGACTGACACCGGATATAGCTAGTACCGAAGCGGGCATGGAAGCTGGGCGTAGTCAAATGTCGTTAAGTTTTCCGATATTTCTGGTATTTTATGGTAGTGTAGAGACAAATAAAGAAGCACGACAGTCAAGCATAGCCGTAATTCATATCTGAAACAGGAGGCATGCTATTGTTNAATATACAATTGTTTCATGGCTATTTGGGGAACAGTCAAAACTATCATCCCGAGGTAGGGGGAAGCCCTGGGGAACTGTTTGCCCGAGGCCGCTAGGCCAAGGGCAAACAGTTCCACAGGGATTCCCCCTACCGAGGGATGATAGTTTTGACTGTTCCCAAAATAACCATGAAACAATTGTTTTATTACCAAATAAAAATTAGTATCAATGCTGCATGCAATGTTGCCATTGCTTCAACACTGAGTCGCGGTCACCGAAACGCTTGAACGGGGCTCTCGAGTGGGGATTTCTGCGCATCGAATTCGCGCCGGGTAACAGTTCGCTCTGACGGGAAAACAGTTTTGACTGTTTCACCCCTACAGCCGAAATTGGACAAAAGGCCAGAAACAGTCAAAAATAACTAATTATAATTTATATAGACTATTGGGTAATAACAAATATTGTCTTGACTTGACATTTGCCACTTGATTATATACACTTATATGCTAAGATGATTTCTTATAGTAATATAGTCATGATAATACACGAAGTCACTCTATATAATGCTTCTCTCTTTAGATATTGGTATAACTAATTTTGGTGAAGTGTACGGCGAATAGCAATACATTGTACGGCGAATAGGGATGTTTAAAATAACTGATGTACGGCGAATAGTTTATATGTATACAGTATTCAAGTGAACACCTTGCCTAAATGTGACATATTTTGTTAAAGCTAAACTTGAACTAACTATCCCCGATTACCGTAAATCTCCTACAGTGTAAAATGCATGCACCTTATCGTACGTAAGGTGTAGAACACCAAATATTACAAGAAACAGCAATGCACTCAATACAGTTGTACAGGTAAGTCAGATAACCAATAGTCTACCTGTGCTGTAGATGAAAAGGATAGGCCAAAATGATAGTTGTGTGTTTGATTTTCAGCCCTCAAAATATTAGGGCTGCAAAATAAAAAAAAATAAGTACCAATTATAAAACAAAGTTTCAGACCATTATTTAAAAATGCCTATTAAAAGTTGATGAAAATAAAGTTAGAATAGACTTTGGAATCTTGAGTAGGAATGAAACAGACTTTTCCCATTGCCTGTTAAAGGTATATATATTTAACACTTTCAGACGTCTGTATTGCCTTTACCACCTCGCTGTTTACAGATAACTGTGAATAAATTGAGGGTATATCAACTTAACTATCGTGTAATTCTTTGCAAATCTTTGTATTAGTGCAGATTTTCTATACATCACCATTAACATTTCTTGTGTAACCCCTCCCCCTTGTATATTAACGTTGTGACAGGGAAATAGTATGTCACCTTCTGCCTAAGTGCCAACTCTTCACCGCCATTGTCAAGGTCACAGCTAAAGTTCAAGCTCTCCACCGCTATTGCCATGGTCACAGCTTATGTTGTGTTATAGCATGTGAAACATGGTACTCCTTATCATTATTTAACTCGACATTAATTAGTCTTTCGAGATTCTTAACCCCTTCCCTTTACGATATCATTCAAAAGTGTTACAATGCAACATCATTGGTATGTTACTCCACGGACTTATTCCGTGGCTACTCCAATGATAAAACAACATAAAAACATAGCTAGTACAAATGCTCGCTCTAAACATGGTTATGTTAGTATAGCTATTCGCCGTACTGTTAACATGCTAGTCGCCGTACACTTGAAAATGTATCAACAACTATTCGCCGTACACAGCCGAAAAAACATTTAAGTCAATTACATCGTAATGACTTCATTTAGATTTGTGACCATTATATGTTTATCCCGGTTTCATCTACATATGCCAGTAACGTCCGTTTCGTCATCGTATATGTCATACTTTAATAGTTATCTCTTCTTCTTTCTTTGTAAATTATGTATTTTGTACCGGTACTTTGTAGTCATGTTTTACCAATATCTTCAGATCGCATGAAATAGTTTACAAATCATCTACATTACGAACATCATTGTTCATTGTATAACTGTTGTGTTCTTTTTTTTTGTCTCTACGCTACCAGAAAATACCAGAAATATCGGAAAACATCCCGTGGCTGGTCTGCGCCTAGCGTCCGTGCCCGCTTCGGTACTAGCTATATCCGGTGTCAGTCCTACACAGTGGATAAGCATACTTTTCCTTCACCTATGTGCCTACTATTATAAAAATATAAACCCTATTCAGACAATAACACTATAGCATATACATTTATCAACATACACTTCGTGATTCACGTGTTTATAAAGTTAAGGCTATATCCCACCCTACACATTATACCTATGAGTTATGTTGAAGTGATCTCCCTTTACTTTTACCGTTGACATCCCCACCGAGGAATGTATTTAGGTCAATGAAGGTGTATTTACGATTACGATAACAGAGGTACATGTACTGTCCTAGTTAGCTTACTCCATACAATTAGGTGTCTGATATATCTCTCAATAATCAATATACAAAGGCTAATAGTTCTGTTGTCTTTTTATCATATATACCTCATCAACGTTTTAACATTATTAGCACAGAAGAATAAACGTATAGAATATTATGACGCATTAAAAATCTATTTTATAAAGCTTAACATACTTCATTAACTAATATGAGGAGTAGTGCTGAGAACTATTGACATAATACAGCATCTGTCTGGTTAAAAAATCTTGAAGTCAACTTAACATGTATGGCTAGTAACGAGTATCATGCGCATACGGAATCTAATAACAACACAGGTTTAAACATGAGAGATCCAGAAACAATGCATTATCACCCAACAGGTACCCAACTCTCGATCTTCTGAGCAATTTCATCGTAAGACACTTGGAAAAAATAATGAAACTTCACATGTTAAACTGAAAATTAATGTCAGCGATAAAGGATAAACTTATGTTAACACATACTTCACATTTAGAAAAATATTCACTCCGAAAATTTATGTTGACTTGATCGGGCCAGATAAGGAATGTAGGTCATTGTTTACCACGTGGATTAGATCAGCCTTTTACAGCACGCATTTGTACTTTTAACAGAAACCATTTATCAAGGAGGAAATGCTGCATGTGTTACCTGCCGGGTGGTTCCATTGTTGTGTAAACCGCTCCGGGACATATCCATCGGCTATGGTGATAACTGACCGGTACAATTTTGACAGTGCCCTCATGGATGCGTTGGCGAGAATACGAAACTAAAGTTCCGGTTTTTAAATCACATTCTCCTAAGATGATCGATAAATAAACAATACTTCCCCATGAAGCTTTGCGTGTCCCCAAGTAGTATAGGTGATGATATTAGTTTGGACGCCATACTGTTTCTATCTGCAGAATTTGGGATAACATTTTTTATTCTATTTATAGCATTTTGAACTCATTTCTTTATCTGTATGAATTTTTTCTTCCGGAAAAAAAGTTAGAAGCGAGCAAAATTATATTTTCATAAGCATAACTTGAAAGACAAAAATCTACACACAGAGAAAAATTATGTACAGTAGGGTGTTAACGTCAGAACGCTGCCTTCGATACGGCGAGGCTAATCTTTTCGGTTGGTGTTGATAGATAAGCGACGTTTACCGTGTTTGTTATGGTGTAGTAAATCGGAATTGCTTGGTGCTTTTAGTTGTAATCGATTATATGATTATATAAGAATGGTGGTGCAGTCAGGTGGCGCAGTGGGTAGCGCACCTGCCTTTCACTAAGACGGCCACGGTTCGATTCCCCGATCGGACGTGAAAAGGTATGAGGTCACCTGCCCGAATACATAGGTTTTCGCCGGGTACTCCGGTTTCCTCCCTAATTATATAATTAAGACACCCGCGCTCTAACATCCGGGCCAACAAGAATGATTTATATCAGTTGAATTGATTTGTTTCATAATTGTTGTATATAAATAAAGTTTATATTTAAAACGAATAGAAAAAAATATCACGTGTTTGAACTACTACAATAAACGTACTTTTATGAAGTGATGAACTGATAATAATTCTCATTTAATCTTTTAGCGAAATTCTATACATAATCACAGAATGGCGTACAAAAAACTCCGTAACGAATAAATATTTCAATATTACTTTGGTTGCCATGTCGACCGTTCATGAAGTCAGAGAGCATCTACTCAAGTCTGCCAATATGAAAAATGCGCCAAATCGAGCGTGCACTTCATTCGGAATTTCTCGTGGTTGTTGGTTCTTTTTGACGTACCGTCCCGTGTCAACACAAACAACAACAATGGACGTAATGGAGGAGTCGCTGATCAAGAGAGCAGGTGATAAACATGCAAAAAGTGGGGAGGATTTGTTAGGGGTATTAATTGAAGACATAAACAGGTATGATGTTCTACCCGACATTGTTTCTACGGATACAGAACTGAAAATAACTCTTGAGGAATTGTTTTACTTTTTTTTATACTTGAACTATTGTTTAAATCTATGTATTCAAAATATTCACTGTTAATTAATAAAAGTGTCATAAATGAGCTGATACTATATTGGCCAAGTTATTAGGCCGAGGTCTGTGATATCATATTGGCCCAGTTATTAGGCCGAGGTCTGTGATAACATATTGGCCCAGTTATTAGGCCGAGGTCTGTGATATTGGCCCAGTTATTAGGCCGAGGTCTATGATATTTGCCCATTTATTAGGCCGAGGTCTGTGATATTATATTGGTCCAGTTACTAGGCCGAGGTCTGTGATATTGGCCCAGTTATTAGGCCGAGGTCTGTGATATTGGCCCAGTTATTAGGCCGAGGTCTGTGATATTGACCCAGTTATTACGCCGAGGTCTGTGATATTGGCCCAGTTATTAGGCCGAGGTCTGTGATATTATATTGGTACAGTTTTTAGGCCGAGGTCTGTGATATTATATTGGTACACTTATTAGGCCGAGGTCTGTGATAGTATATTGGCCCAGTAATTAGGCCGAGGTCTGTGATATTATATTGGCCCAGTTATTAGGCCGAGGTCTGTGATATTGGCCCAGTTATTAGGCCGAGGTCTGTGATATATTATATTGGCCCAGTTATTAGGCCTAGGTCTGTGATATTGACCCAGTTATTACGCCGAGGTCTGTGATATTGACCCAGTTATTACGCCGAGGTCTGTGATATTGGCCCAGTTATTAGGCCGAGGTCTGTTATATTGACCCAGTTATTACGCCGAGTTCTGTGATATTGGCCCAGTTATTAGGCCGAGGTCTGTTATATTGACCCAGTTATTACGCCGAGGTCTGTGATATTGACCCAGTTATTACGCCGCGGTCTGTGATATTGGCCCAGTTATTAGGCCGAGGTCTATGATATTTGCCCATTTATTAGGCCGAGGTCTGTGATATTATATTGGTACACTTATTAGGCCGAGGTCTGTGATAGTATATTGGCCCAGTTATTAGGCCGAGGTCTGTGATATTGGCCCAGTTATTACGCCGAGGTCTGTGATATTGGCCCAGTTATTAGGCCGAGGTCTGTTATATTGACCCAGTTATTACGCCGAGTTCTGTGATATTGGCCCAGTTATTAGGCCGAGGTCTGTTATATTGACCCAGTTATTACGCCGAGTTCTGTGATATTGGCCCAGTTATTAGGCCGAGGTCTGTTATATTGACCCAGTTATTACGCCGAGTTCTGTGATATTGGCCCAGTTATTAGGCCGAGGTCTGTTATATTGACCCAGTTATTACGCCGAGTTCTGTGATATTGGCCCAGTTATTAGGCCGAGGTCTGTTATATTGACCCAGTTATTACGCCGAGGTCTGTGATATTGACCCAGTTATTACGCCGCGGTCTGTGATATTGGCCCAGTTATTAGGCCGAGGTCTGTTATATTGACCCAGTTATTACGCCGAGTTCTGTGATATTGGCCCAGTTATTAGGCCGAGGTCTATGATATTTGCCCATTTATTAGGCCGAGGTCTGTTATATTATATTGGTCCAGTTACTAGGCCGAGGTCTGTGATATTGGCCCAGTTATTACGCCGAGGTCTGTGATATTGGCCCAGTTATTAGGCCGAGGTCTGTTATATTGACCCAGTTATTACGCCGAGTTCTGTGATATTGGCCCAGTTATTAGGCCGAGGTCTGGGATATTGGTACAGTTATAAGGCCGAGGTCTGTGATATTATATTTGTACACTTATTAGGCCGAGGTCTGTGATAGTATATTGGCCCAGTTATTAGGCCGAGGTCTGTGATAACATATTGGCCCAGTTATTAGGCCGAGGTCTGTGATAACATATTGGCCCAGTTATTAGGCCGAGGTCTGTGATATTGGCCCAGTTATTACGCCGAGGTCTGTGATATTGGCCCAGTTATTAGGCCGAGGACTGTGATATTATATTAGCCCAGTTATTAGGCCGAGGTCTGTGATATTAGCCCGAGACCGAACTGGATTAATAACACTATATTACGGCTTCGTAAAATCTAATCGCATGACCTCATAAAACTTAGCTTTCGAGTTATCTCCCGTTGAACGAACAGCGCTGCCCGCGGTTAAAATAGTCTAAAACCTAATATAAACGCAAAATACGATTATGAATTTAATCTCAGCATTGTTTACACGATGAGCTTTTGAAAGAGAGATGCTTAGACTTAGAATACTTTGATATTTACTTCAGTTTAGTTTAAACTAAACATATTTTATTGCCAAAAAGGAAAAGGATCGGGCACATGTTTCACGAATACCATTAACGCATTTTCCTTATAAAATAAAACATTGTATATACACATCATAAGATGGCTATCATAGTTTTAAACAAGAAAATTCGTGGACTTTATATCCCCCGCTTTCAGGACATATTGTTGGTAAACATCATTGAGGTTAGGTTTAAACATGTGAGTATCGTGCTGTTGAGACATGATATATACATGTAGCTTGAAACTCGAAGAAAAAAAGCCTTATCTAATATTTGCTAGAGTTATTAAGCGCAAACTGCAGATAATGACTCTGCCAAATGGCCGAGCCCTTAACGCGTTGAACCCTGTTACTAAGTTTGAAGACAATCGGATACTATTTGCGAGAGTAAATGTGAACAGAAACGAAAGATAATGACGTTTTTAGTTATTCAAGGGGCCATAACTCTGCCAAATAGCGTCCGCTGAAAGTGTTCATGAACTTGGCCGAGCCCTTAAGGCATTTAACCCTGTGACCAAGTTTGAAGAAAATGGGTTCACATTTGTTGTAGTTATTACACGGAAAAGAAGCGCGCAAGATAATGACGTTTTTCGTTTTTCATGGGGCCATAACTCCGCCAAATGGGGTCCGCTGAAAGTGGTCATCGAACTTGGCCGAGCTCTTAAGGCATTTAACCCTGAGTCTTCCTTATTCATGACTGTGTATATATGTACATCCTTAATATTATACATATAATGCACACATTCACTTTTACTATTATATACAAAATCTATAATATTGGTCATGAAAATGGTACCTTATTATCCAATTATACCTGACCCCAGTGATCGGCTTCCTTCTCCAACAAAACTCCGTATATCTACGTAATAAATCAGGAAGTCGGGTGTAATACTAGTTCAATCAGTCAGGTGTTATGTCAAGGTATCGTGTATAATAGGTGATTCGGGTGCCGTTTTAGATTTAAGGATCCCTGTACCACTGCCAACAACTGTAACTAAGTGCTGGAAGCTGGTTTTTCCCGGCATAGCTTTGATAAGTCATTTCTGAAGAGGAAACGTACTTTGCGGGGCTTTTACGAGAAAAAAATGAAGATGAAATAGACAAAAAACAAATGTTTAATCAACAAGAAAGTTCTGTGTTAAAATTCAACGGGGCTTAAAAAAAATAATGTATAAAATATTGCATAATATATCACCAAAGAACCTTAATGCAATAGTTGATCCTTTTTTAAAATGATTTAACAAATGTGAGGTATCAGCTTAGACTAAATAGAGTTTTTATCCCCCGGTATGTAGAACTGAGAGCTACTTTACTAGTTTCTTTCCCTCAACCTTTCGACTTCACAATCAGTTAGACCCAGATATATTAAATGCTCAATCTCTTCCCCAGTTTAAGAAACTAATTATCATAACTAATAGAATACCAAATAATGATACTCAGACAGTGGTAAAAAAACTCTGGTGATAGAAAAATCAATATTATACTATGTCAAGTTAGAAATAATGCTAGCAACTTAAACTTTGATATCTTTAACGACCATCTATTAGAATCTGCTTCATGTGAGTGTGGTTATATACAGGAAACAAGCTATCATTACTTCTTTGACTGTGCCAGATACAACAATCACCGACAATTTCTCTCTGCTACTCTATTCAATGATAATCACTCGCACTATACTCTACATACTTTACTAAATGGCTGTAACCAGTGTGACAATGAAACCAATAAAAATATCCTAAAGAGTGTCTCAACCTTTATCGTGAACTCAAAAAGATTTATATAACTTGAATCATCTATATCAACTTATATTTTGATATACTAATAATATAATATTGTTAACATGAACAGCAAACATGCTTATGGTTATACATATCATTAAGCACTTATTATTAACACAGTGTGAATATGATATACTCACCCCTTAAATCAACATGGACTTGTATTTTGTAATTAATAACAAGTAGTTGTATAATTATATTCTTAACGTATTATAATGTGAATATTAATATACCATACAACATGGAAATAGCTTATTCATAATATTCAATGTATATAAGCCTAATATTCAACTATCTATGAGTCACTCTGTGTGGATTTTGAACTCCCAGGGAGGATCTAGTGAAGGAATATGTCTAAAACTCACTCATTACCCTGATGAGGTTCATAAGCAGTTAGAGTTATCTCCCCTTTACCATATGACTTGCGCATTGATATCTGTTTTATATATATATATATATAAGTTGTGTTTTTGTTTTCAATTTTTCATTTCACTATTAATTATAATACATTTATATGCTGAATTTTACACATACATGCAGGAGAGAACTGATATAAGCATAGCCTGTTGTTCGATCCAATTCATACAACATCATGTACAAGAAAGTTCTGTGTTAAAATTCAAAAGGGCTTAACCCGGTTTCCGACCCTGGACTTCAGATTATTACACTATCGTTCTAACCGATTACGCTACCTGGTTAACAGAAGTGTCCTGGCCCAACTAGCCCACATTTATATAAAAACTGAAGCATAACAATACAACTGCTCCATTCATATATGAATTAAATTGTAAACAAATTGTAACATTGTATAAATAAAACTAAGTACATGTAAAACGATTATCTAAGCATGCATGAAACACTTATTTCCCTGAAAACTTATCAACAATTTTCCAAACGTGTGTGAACCATTATTTCATCTGAATATGTATTGACCTTTATTTCTTGGAAAAATGAATGTTCATCATTTTTTTCTCTGAGCATGTATGAACGATTGTTTCTCTGAATATGCATGAACATTTTGTTTGCTGAACATATATCAATAATTGTACCAATCACTAATAACTTCACTCACTGAATAATTATTGAGACTATTTTGTGTTGATCAACAAAATGCCTATTCCGTCTTTGCGTATTGCAGAGTTATCTGCTCTTGAGAACAGGTATTGATTGTTACGTCATTTGTTTGTGAGAGTAACGTCATCAATTTTTGAGAAAACGACGTAATTTTCCCACACAAACCAATGACGTAACAATCAATCCCTGCTCACAAGAGAAGATAACTCTGCAATACGCAAAGACGGAATATCATATCTGAGTAAATCAGAATAATTCTGATCGAGCATGAAATTACTATTTATATTTTACAATCAATAAGTAATATTATGCTTCGCAATAATAGTTTATTTTCAAATGGAGCTATTGAAAATTTGTTCTTTTAATTTATTAATAATTTTGAAACATCGACTTTTTTCGATAATATGATAAAACTCTTCAAACTCTTTTTTTGACACTTATATCACATGTACAATAAATGTATAGGAAGATTCGGATTTCATCAACACTCACTCACTCATCACAATGTTCATCTGTTTTTGTCTGTCGTTTTGTTTTCTTTATCAAGGGTATACACATTTTAAAAAACAATGCATCAATATCAATATTAAATAAAATAATTATATTTTCCTATAATCTTTGAAAAAAAATTCCCCCATCAGTTCTAATGTTTTTACGAATGTGTTCATTGCGTGCATGTCCTCAAAGTATCCACACCAACACACATTGCACCAATGAAAGCATATCTTTAAATTATTGTTCTGTGATTTTTCTTTCCAACAAAGCATACGTTTTGGCGAAATTTTCGACCATAACTTTCTCAATATTGTCAATACGTTTTTCCATGCGCTTGTATTGTTCTTCAAGTACGCCACCTAGAGGATGTGTGTCACGAGACGTCGAATCAGCATCACGGAGAAGTTTCATTTCTGCCTTTGACATTATCAGGTACCATCTCTCACCAACAGAGTCGTCATATTCCGCATTTATTTTACAATGCCGGATGTTGACTTTTCCAAAATATTTAGGGAATTTCGGGAGTAGGTTTTCGACATTAATTCCAATTTTGATGGAATCGACACGCCACAGGACTTGCTGATTCTCTAAGATGTTTGAATAGGAATCGTTCATCATGGCTATCAGCAAATTTAGTAGAATAATGGTGGAAAATAGTATATAGATAACGTACATGATCTTGGGGAAAGTTGAGGTTCGTCCGACAGATAGCAGTCCAGCATCGAAATTACCATCGAATATGTCCGCCATTCCTACCATTGTGTTGAACACCACGAACATTGTGTCAAACGGGTACGTATAACTATCAACAATTTCTGGGGAAATTTGGAACAGAGAGTGAAATGCAAAACTAAATGCCAGTAGCACAAACAAGAAAACAAGCATGAACCGAAGAACGTCTCTAGTAAGCATGCTCAGGAGCATTTTCCAGAAGTAATGGATCTGTTTGAATCCGCGAGTGAATGTGATTGAATAGAGCCATCCTATACATAAACTTACTGAGAGAACGTAGTCATGGTTTCTGTCACGCATGCCCACGAGAACAAGCCAAGCAAGGGTCAAAATAGCAAATGTTAGGTTCACTGCTAATATGATGAAGGATTCCGACGTCGAAATGTTCCGTCTGTATAACATAACCGTCAATACAATGACGCCATTCAGCAGAAAAATCAGCGGTTCTAATGGAACTACGACAAAAGTTGCTATCAAAATAGGATCAGTGTTTTCGATAAGTGTACCATTCCGCAATTCTCGAAATTTTGTCGACATCTCAATACCTAGGAATGTGAACGCGCTCATGTAGGCAACATGAAGGAACATAAGAAAGGCATAAGCCCATGCTATGGTCGATGTGTACATCATTTCGATTTTTCGAAAAGGTGTTATATTTAACACGCATGACGCGTGGTTTGTCGCATCGGTTGTGACAAGCAGTTCAATAAGAGAAACAGAATGTTGAACTCTTGCTTCACCGCAACATCTTTTGTTAGACCCATTGGTCATAGGAGTCAAATGTGTAATGTCGTAGTACACGTTTCCATGTCTCTCAAAATACATCACTTCCGGCATAGTCATAATTCGTTTCAGAAATACGTCACAGCCTTTCTTGGAAGCGTAACCGAGAACGGAAAGCAATTTGTCGTTCTTAAAGTCGTTTATAAGGGATAGGACAGCTTGTCGTTGAAGTAGCTGAAAATAGCGTTTGTTTTGATTTGGAAATCTTTCGTTGCTTATATTGCACGACCATCGTACAGCTTCTTGCAAAATGGTCTCGACAACATTCATGTTAAGCGCTGTATTGCTATTGTCATCCACAATTGCTTTAACTAGCCGATGCAGCACAGTATCTCCCCAATTATCCTTACGACCGAGGTCAGCTCCGTAAAATATGAGCCGTGTTACACAATCTGAGAACCCCGCAGATGCTGCAAGGTGGAGAACGGTCTCGCCCTTATTGTTAGGGTGGTTGATGTCGGCGTCTCTCTGCATGTTCTCGTATATATCTAAGGCAGTGTGTAAAACCTCCTCACAATTGAGTCTCACGGCCTCGTGAAAGGGTGTGTTTCCATCAACATCTGTGTCTTTGAATCGTACGAATCGGAATTCCCATAAGACATCCGGATTTGCATATTTCCCTGCCAAATGTAGCGCGTTGTTGCCGGCGTCGTCAGTGCAATTAACACTTACCCAGTCATGGATTTTAATAGTGTGTGACAGAACAGCTCGTGCAAGCTCGGGGGTGGAGTTGCTGGAATAACCGATTACGTGCAATGCTGTTTCTCCGGACGCATTTCTGACGTTAGTCTTTGCTTTCATATCCATTAAAGCAAACGCAGCTTCTTGATTTCCCTTTGTACATGCTATATGAAGATCCGTTTCCTGCTTTTTATTTTGTTTATTTATATCAAATGTATTGCCAAATTCGCGTATAACCTCATCCCTGTTGTACATGGCGGCATAGTGGAGACATGTGTTTCCGTCAAAATCCACCTCTTGGGGATCTAGATTCATTTGTAGAAGCGCTTTGATTTTTTGGGGTCGGCCTAATCGTGCAGCAACGCAGATCGGAGGGATACCGGAGAATCTCATCGTACTTTTAGCCACTTTGTAGTATTTGGCTAACACTTGAAGCACATCATTTGATTCCTGTTGTAAAGCAATTTCCCAGCAGTCCTCTCCAATATCGTTATTGTGAAACATATCGGCGCCTTTCATCAAAAGTAAGTTGACGATATCAGCGTGGCCTCTCTGGGACGCGAAATGTATGGCCATGTCTCCCTTCTCGTCTTCCATGTTAATGTCGGCCCCGTATCTGAGAAGCGTCTTCACGACCTTGATGTGCCCCTCTTTGGCTGCATGGTGTATTGCACGTTCTCCTCCTCGTATCACAATATTAACATCAGCACCATGTGTCAATAGTAGTTTAGCTATTTTGTTGTTTCCAATGGCCGACGAAAGAATCAGAGGTGCGACCAAACCCATAGAGCGGATGTGATTTGGATTAACTTTCCCGTTCTTCAGTAATAGTCTGACTGTCTTGGATTGTTGGTAACGCACTGCCCAATGGAGAGCTGTCGACTTTTTGTCGTTCTCGATGTTTGCGTCTGCATTGCAATCAAGGAGAAGCGATACCGTGGCGTTATGCCCCCACCTAGCTGCCCAAAGTAACGCTGAATCCTTCTTACTATTTAACAGGTTCACATCTATCCCTACATCCAGGTACAGACGAACAAGCTCTGTGTAACCATTGAAGGCAGCGAGGTGATAACATGAAAATGATCTTGCCCGTTGATGTTTGATATCTTTAACTACTTCTTCTTTTATAAGCCGTTGTTGTTCTTCTTCTGATTTGTTTTTGAGTATTAGTTTAGCGAGATTAACATTATTGTTCTCTGTGATTTGATGAAGAGCCATGCAGGAAGACCCAGGAAGAGAAAACGCTTGACTAGCAAGAAACGTCCCTGCTTTGTTTATAAGCATTTCGCCGACGTCGAATCTTTTATGATGCAATGCAAAATGCAGTACGTTCATGTCCTTTAGATCACCCACGGACGTGGTGCATTGCATCAAATCAAGATCTATGTTAATTAATTCTTCAATCTCAGGAATATTTCCATTCTCAATATTCCGAAACATACTTGCTTGGACATCATCTTGTGGCCAGGCTTGAACGAGATCTGACGAAGTCACAACTGCATTCTCTTCCTCGTCCTCGTCGTCTTCGATATCGTCAAGAGGTTTCAGCTGCGCCCTTAGCTGCAAGTATGCACAGGGATATGTCATTGTCAATCTTAAACTGAAACCGTTTTATTACTATGCATTGCTATGGGATATTTGCTTTTTGGATCAGTTTTATTTCATTTAGTTTAAGAAATGCTGTCTTTCCATCATTAACCTTCAAATATAATTTCTAGAAAATAAGGTATCCTACCTGTATCAGTTATTAGACAGAATATAGACTGCATGATGTTATAAGTCACGTATATTCTGTAAAGTTAATGTTTTATGTTAGTTCACGAAAATGCTTAACATAATTAAAAAAGGCGATTACCTGTCTTGATTCCTTAAGAATTACGTAGTCACCATCAGCTGACACTTCCCTAGCCTCACCCTGATGCAGTGAGTGTCGCCTGGGACGTCTACGCATGCACTCCGGGAGGTCATTCATCTTGTCCTGAGGATACAACAAGGAAAATCTATTAAATGTTACCATTAAAATGTTATGAAAATGTATGTTACCACATGTATTTCCTTGAAATTGAAAATAAAAAGCCCATATACAAAACAATACCAACAATAGCCCTGCTGTATTCCTCTGCATGTGTATCGTTAAAGGCGACTAATGTGTCCCCCTGGTATGTTGTTGGAGAAATTCATTTCAAAACTGAAACAGAAAAAGCCGTTGGAAAAACTCCTTTTCATTGTTGCTAACAAGAAAGACGGTATTTAACTACATAACAGGTATAAAATAAGGCACGAAATTGCAGAGGATGCAAAAGATATATTTTAAAGAGACGATCCCATGCTGGGCTTTCCTTTTTCAAATCGGCTTACCACCACATAGATCTAGTTGAGTCACAAAGAATGTACTTAGGATATGCCTGAGCGATTGAACTTCATTTTCGAAGGAATTGGAAGACAATGCTTTGTGTTTGCATAGGAAATGGTTACATTCTGGTCAGGAGTTATAAGATGTTATGATATGAGATTCGAGAATATATTACAATATGCATATTTTGTTTACATTGTCGCCGCGTGCAGACTATCCGAAAGGCTGTCGATTTATAGTAAAAAAAGGGAACTTCTGAGGTATTTGGTCAGGAAATGAAAAATAAAAAGCTTCACATGGAGAGATCAAGCTGTAAAGACGATATTTAAATCCGCGGAAAACGATCTGGCGGGATAAAGTAAACACGAGTGCGTAGAAGGCTTATTGTAAGTGTTTCACAGATCGGCCGTAAGAAAGCTGGTGTACTATACCATTCAATCTAAATTGGTTGGCAGTAATATTAAGATTAACAATAATCTAGTTTAGATTATAAGAGATAGTAATCCGACAGGGTTAAAACATTGAGCACGTTGTCAGGCAGTGAGGACTGACACATAGATCACAAAATATATTGTTTTATTTTACAGATTTGCTAGCGGTTATAATTATCCTTGTACAAATGTAAAATCAAATCGATATGGTGGTGTTCCGATACAAAGTTAAATGTTACTTACACATATGGCAGAGGGAGGAATGGGGTCACTCAAAAAACGTTATGCATGTCAATATATGAAATAGAAAATAAAATACAACTAAGACTTATAATTCTTCTTTGGAGTGATCAGCTCTTTTGGACATAGAATACAAATGATGTCACTTTCTGCAGGCTTCAATCTGAAAGAGGCTGTTACACCAAACCAAAGCAGCCATTGGCAGTGTGTATTCATGTTCTATGTATGTTATATAAATCTTTAGCATCACACTATTATTTTTTTCAAAGCACTCATCTTCGTATCTCAATAGGTCCAAACCACTCATTTATGTGTCTCAATAGGTCCAAACCACTCATTTATGTGTCTCAATAGGTCCAAACCACTCATCTATGTGTCTCAATAGGTCCAAACCACTCATCTATGTGTCTCAATAGGTCCAAACCACTCATCTATGTGTCTCCACCACTTATTGACGTGTCGCTATTATCATATCACATGTAGTGTCTCCAACACATATTTCATCCTCTTAATCACTTAATCCTAGTGTCTCAGTTACTCATCGTGTGTCAATGACTCGGATTGTGTCGCAATCAATCATATAAAAGAAAAGGTGTTATATTTAATAATCTTAGAGCCTCAATCACTGATCTCAGGGTCTCAAACACTAATCTTAGAGCCTCAATCACTGATCTTAAAGCCTCAATCGCTGATCTCAGGGTCTCAAACACTGATCTTAGAGCATCAATCACTGATCTTAGAGCCTCAGTCATTGATCTTAGAACCTCAATCGCTGATCTTAGAACCCCAATCACTGATCTTAGAACCTCAATCACTGATCTTAGAGCCTCAATCACTGATCTCAGAGCCTCAATCACTAATCTTAGAGCCTCAATCACTGATCTTAGAGCCTCAATCACTGATCTTAGAGCTTCAATCACTGATCTTACAGTCTCAATCGCTCATCTAATTGCCTTTTTCAGATCGAGGATATCTCAGTCCAACGTTTTATTGTCATCATCAATCTATTGTATACAATATCCACCGCTCACTTTGGATCTCCTGTTGCTCATTGATGTGTCATTGTTGGCCAAAGAAGAAGAATGGAGAAAAGAAGAAGAAGGAGGAGGAGAAGAAGAAGAAATGATAAGGGGCTGAAATGTTCAAGGCCTGAGCTTGCAATACATGTTACCTTCTAAGAAACACTAGCGACTTGTACCGTTAGCAAACGAAAAGCTTACGTTATAGCTTTTTCCTCGATCTCTCACCTGTGATACCAAACTTTTCATTTTACATGAGGTAACAAGCCCGGTCCGATCGGACACTGGATTTCTCATCATGGACGTTTCGATTGAAAATGTGAAGTATTATAGAGAAACTTTGTACATCCCAACCATCAATACAAAAAAACAAGATCTTATTTTCTATATCATTGCTGTCCTATTTCTTTATCATGTAATGTATACAGACTTACCTTACACAATAAGGCACGAGAATCACCTTATGTCCATGCTGGGCTGTCGCTATGGTACAAATGTTTCTGTCGAGTCGACAACCAGGATTTTATTAACGGTACAGTGTACATTGAGGTGTTAAAGGTATACACATTCTCTGGTGTAATGGCTATTATTATTGGGTATTACAGAAAGGCTCAATTTATATACAATAACAATCGCCTACTTACACCCGGATTATAGTTTATATATAATATACAGGTTGCATCTGGCTGTACTTTGTTCAGGTTTTACGTAAACTTCACCGTAAAAGTATGTATACTTCAGCTGTATTCCATGCATGGATCGTAAGAGGCGACTAACATGCAGTCCCCCTGGATAATCGGAAGGGTTGGGGTTGTGTTCCTCTGTGTCCTCTAAGGAGACACTTAGGAAAGTAAAATTGATCTGCTGCCCCCTTTGCAGCACCTTCAAACTTTATATATATATAGAGGATATTTCTCTCTCTCTCTCTCTCTCTTCACTTCTTCGTCTTTATATGACATCATTGATGGCGAGGATGTTAAATTCCATATAAGCAAACAAACAAGAATAACATTCAAGTTGTACAGTCAATCTCAATTTCGTTATTTACATTTCAATTCCAAAAATATTAGATAAGATGGCAATTTGTTGGCTAAAGACAGATACAGTTTACAGGTAAAACATTATAAAGATGGACTGAGATACCACTTTATACAACTCTAATACCACACAGCATGGAAAACTGTGGAAGGAGATAGCATCCATCATTGTGTTTACTCGAGTTAGTTACATCTGGTTTGGAATCTTACTCAATGTATGTACATTTGTTTTATTTCCTTGGTTAAGAGGAATATTTGTTTCATGCTTTGTACATTTTCGTATTCGTTTACAGGTCAATTAAATGCTATGCTACTTTCTGTTTTAAGTGTTTTCATGCTATGCTCATTTTTCTGACCCTGTTTTTGTGCTAGTTTAGAATGCACTTCATTCCAGACTTACGCGAGGTACATTCTATGTAATTAACAGATTCCATGTTGATTTGATACTGTAGTCATTTTGAAACTAAAATTTTAATCAGAAATAGCTAGCTGTTTACATGTAACTACATTGTAGTACATTTGTAAGCCAGTAAACGAAACACGAAAGTTCCTCAATACAATTAGCTTATATACAATACAATACAATATTGAGGAATTCGCAGGAGCTGCCTTATCAGGCGCTGACTACTATTCCTATGCCACCTGGCTAATGTCTCCCTATGTGTGTATTCCTGTGTGTGTTGGAGATGTATTGTGTTCTGTTTGTAGTGGGACCGTGCTTCCAACGGTATCATTTATAGTGTCACCTCACCTGAATGCTACAGCACAGATACCGCAACACCCATCCCAAATCATTTTATACTCCACCTGGGTTGTTGGAGTTGTGTGGGCAGGAGAAAAACACTTTCTCTAATATTCCATGCGTACGGCGACTTCGGGGATCGAACCCGGCCGCCTGCGTGGAAGGCCGGAGTGTTAACCACTCGACAAATCCGCCCATATCTAATATTTACAGTATTACAGAATTTAAAACAGATTCAAATCTAAATAGAATTGCTTAGCGTAATCCGGAATGGAGTGTGAATTCAAAATTAACACGCCAACCCGAGATGGAAAAATAGCATAGAATGCAAGTAGAATAACATAGAATGAACAGGCAATGGACTTGAAAACGGCACAAAGAAACATAGCGTGCAACAAGTAAACTTCTTAACGAAGGATAGAATACAAACGTACATGGAATAAGATTCCAAATCAGAGTTACATGTAACTAACCTAATCAAGTATGATAATGGCATGGCAGTAACCCCTTCCTTAGAAAACTAGGCAGTATTATTAGTATAACATTCAACTAACAGTATTATGACGCCTATGAAGTAAACTAATAAGTTTTCCATGGATCACAACTCATTCTGAATTCGGTAATGAATCTCATGAGTTCAATGCTAGTTAGATACATGCAAATATAATTTATTTAATGTACATATGGTTTTGCTTTATTACTTTCCTGTCTCATATCATATGTAATTGTATTTATCATCATTATTAAAGTTTGCCTATTTTGTTAAAAAAACTTATTTTGCATAGTTATTATGAGTCATTGAGTTTATTTTGAATTGACTTTGTGACAGAGTGTGTCCCCCATTGTTTGAGATATAAATGGTTTAGTTGTTATCGCTAGATGGAGATTACTTATACTTGCCCGTTTTGTACACAAGTTGTACTCTGACTAAACTCTCGTCCACGTATGGTTAGGCTGCTGTTTAAAGTAGGTGGGTTACTGGTCAAGCGCGCTATTCATTGCTACATTGGCACTTACTACTCTAGATCTCGTGACATTAATTATATGGACCGACGAAAGGTCAGTGTTAGCCTAGAAGGTGTCGTGGGATTAAGATAATTTCTACCAAGAAACCCCTGTTAATCAACTTCAAGGCCGTCCCATTAAACGACAGGTGTTGGTTAGATCGACCTGGTGATTTATACCTTCTGATCAATAACCTGAACTACGAAAAGTAGCGTTCGTGATTCTCCATTACGGATATTCCTCCGCGATGTAGTTCAGTGATGTTTGCTTAAATGTTTCAAGTGGTTGACTCAACGTACACTTAGCATTGATCGAAATCGAACAATATCCAACTGTTTTAGTTATAAGAAAAATATAACTTGGGTGAGAGATTTTGCATACTGGTCATCTTCAACAATTCCTAATTGACCTGACGCAATGTCGATACAAACTGAAGCAGAAAGATTTTTTACAATTAGTGAATGTTGTGTATCATCATGAATAGAAGACACCAAACGACAGGAACCAAGACGACACCAAAACAACAGAAACCACGACAGCACCAAATGACAGAAACCAAGAAGACTCCAACACAACAAGAAACAATGAGACACCAAAACATCAGGAAACAAGGAGACAGGAACCAGGGAGACACCAAGACGACACCAAAACAACAGGAGACAGCAAACGACAAGATAACAGCAGGAACCAAGACGACACCAAAACAACAGAAAACAAGTAAATACTAAACGACAGGATCCAGGGAGACACCAAACGACACCATAACAACAGGAACCAAGACGATACCAAAACAACAGGAAACAAGGAGATACCAAACGACAGCATTTGTATGAAGGAAATACACTTATCAACATTATGCATTTTCAATTTTATATAATAAAATGACACATCTTCATAAAGCGATTTTTTTTTATTAAATTCAGCAGAAACGTATATATTACATGTACGTCTCTTAGAAAACACGAGTTATCGTTGTCGTTTATAAGAAACATCATCAAGACATATTTGTATTAATTAGTGAATGTCATATCTCCTATCCAAAACATTTTAAGTTGGCTCTGTTTAGGGTTCGACCTTTATTGTCGTACTCTTCACAGACCGGCTCTGACATCGATACACTTACAGGGGACTATGACATGTATCCTTTTTGTCATATTGGAGAACCATCCGTATCATGAAGTATTACATGTACCAATGTAAACGTGACCAAATTAATCAATACGTCAGAGTTTGGAAAACATCAATAGAGGTTTGTACATTCCCCATTGATTTTCCAACTGTAGAATAGACTCGAGAAATTATTTACACAAAGGTTATGAATAAGTAAATACGTCATGGAGTATCTTGTTAAATATACCGACGCTTTGTAAGCTTCATCGCCAAAGCTCATGAAATATCAGAAATATCTTTTAAGCATTGTTTTATTTACACATCTATCAAATATTTATCCATGCATTATAATTTCAACAATTAAGATTTCAAGTTAAATCATATATATTTCAAAGTGCTGAAAACCCTTATTAGAACAGATAAAAGCCTTTACGTCAGTAAGAGATAACCACACAATGCGTTCCTGAAGTGTAATCTATATTGACTCTGAAGTATGAAAACAACTACTGTAAGTTCCGATACAGTAGGTCAACACACTATAGTGTATGTACATGTTTACCGTGTAGAAGTTATTGGGGATGAGACAGGCGGCTTAAGAATAGGCTCCACCCTTTTGCAATGAACTTGCAGAATTAGTTGAAACTTTCACATAATTGTTATAAAAAGCCAAGCCTTCCGATAGACTATTGTCCCTCTCTCCTCTTGTCCCTCTATCTTCATCCTCGTACGTTGCTCCGACTTTCTTCTTCTTCTTCTTCTTTTTCTTCTTCTTCTTCTTCTTCTTGTCCCTATCTCCACCGCCTCGTCGTTCCCTCCGACTCCTTATCTTGTCCCTTCCTCTTTTCCTATCTATTCAGCATCATGCGTTCCCTCCGACTTCTCCTCTTGTCCCTATCTCTACCTACTCTTAAGTTCCCTCCGACTCCTCCTCTTGACCCTATCACTACCTCCTCGCACGTTCCCTCCGACATGTCCTCTTGTCTCTATCTCTACCTCCTCACACATTCCCTCCGACTTCTCCCCTTGTCCCTATCTCTACCTACTCTTAAGTTCCCTCCGACGTGTCTTCTTGACCCTATCTCTACCTCCTCGCACGTTCCCTCCGACATGTCCTCTTGTCCCTATCTCTACCTCCTCTCACGTTCCCTCCGACTTCTCCTCTTGACCCTATCTCTACCTCCTCGCACGTTTCCTCCGACGTGTCCTCTTGTCCCTATCTCTACCTCCTCGTACGTTCCCTCCGACATGTCCTCTTGTCCCTATCTCTACCTCCTATCACGTTCCCTCCGACTTCTCCTCTTGACCCTATCTCTACCTCCTCGCACGTTCCCCCCGACATGTCCTCTTGTCCCTATCTCTACCTCCTCGCACGTTCCCTCCGACATGTCCCCTTCTCCCTATCTCTACCTCCTCGCACGTTCCCTCCGACATGTCCTCTTGTCCCTATCTCTACCTCCTCGTACGTTCCCTCCGACATTTCCTCGTGACCCTATCTTTACCTCCTCGTACGTTCCCTCCGACCGTTCCTCTTGTCCCTATCTCTACCTCCTCGTACGTTCCCTCCGACTTTTCCTCTTGTCCTTATCTCTACCTCCTCGTACGTTCCTTCCGACTTTTCCTCTTGTCCCTATCTCTTTCTCCTCGTACGTTCCCTCCTACTTTTCCTCTTGTCCTTATCTCTACCTCCTCGTACGTTCCCTCCGACTTGTCCTCTTGTCCTTATCTCTACCTCCTCGTACGTTCCTTCCGACTTTTCCTCTTGTCCCTATCTCTTTCTCCTCGTACGTTCCCTCCTACTTTTCCTCTTGTCCTTATCTCTACCTCCTCTCACGTTCCCTCCGACGTGTCCTCTTGACCCTATCTCTACCTCCTCGCACGTTCCCTCCGACATGTCCTCTTGTCCCTATCTCTTCCTCCTCGCACGTTCCCTCCGACATTTCATTTTGTCCCTATCTCTACCTCCTCGCACGTTCCCTCCGACGTGTCCTCTTGTCCCTATCTCTACCTCCTCGTACGTTCCCTCTGACATGTCCTCTTGTCCCTATCTCTTCCTCCTCGCACGTTCCCTCCGACATGTCCTCTTGTCCCTATCTCTACCTCCTCGCACGTTCCCTCCGACATGTCCTCTTGTCCCTATATCCACCTCCTCGTACATTCCCTCCGACGTGTCCTCTTGTCCCTATCTCTACCACCTTTGCACGTTCCCTCCGACCGTTCCTCTTGTCCCTATCTCTTCCTCCTCGTACGTTCCCTCCGACATTTCCTCGTGACCCTATCTCTACCTCCTCGTACGTTCCCTCCGACCGTTCCTCTTGTCCCTATCTCTTCCTTCTCGTACGTTCCCTCCGACATTTCCTCGTGACCCTATCTTTACCTCCTCGTACGTTCCCTCCTACCGTTCCTCTTGACCCTATCTCTACCTCCTCGTACGTTCCCTCCGACATTTCCTCGTGACCCTATCTCTCCCTCCTCGTACGTTCCCTCCGACTTTTCCTCTTGTCCTTATCTCTACCTCCTCGTACGTTCCTTCCGACTTTTCCTCCTGTCCTTATCACTACCTCCTCGTACGTTCCTTCCGACTTTTCCTCTTGTCCCTATCTCTTTCTCCTCGTACGTTCCCTCCGACTTTTCCTCTTGTCCATATCTCTTTCTCCTCGTACATTCCCTCCGACATGTCCTCTTGTCCCTATCTCTACCTCCTCTCATGTTCCCTCCGACTTCTCCTCTTGACCCTATCTCTACCTCCTCGCACGTTCCCTCCGACGTGTCCTCTTGTCCTATCTCTACCTCCTCTCATGTTCCCTCCGACTTCCCCTCTTGACCCTATCTCTTCCTCCTCGCCCGTTCCCTCCGACATTTCCTCTTGTCCCTCTTGTCCCTATCTCTTTCTCCTCGTACATTCCCTCCGACATGACCTCTTGTCCCTATCTCTCCCTCCCCGTACGTTCCCTCCGACATTTCCTCTTGTCCCTCTTGTCCCTATCTCTACCCCCTCGCACGTTCCCTCCGACATTTCCTCTTGACCCTATCTCTTCCTCCTCTCATGTTCCCTCCGACTTCCCCTCTTGACCCTATCTCTACCCCCTCGTACGTTCCCTCCGACTTTTTCTCTTGACCTTATCTCTACCTCCTCGTACGTTCCCTCCGACATGTCCTCTTGTCCCTATCTCTTCCTCCTCGCACGTTCCCTCCGACATTTCCTCTTGTCCCTATCTCTACCTCCTCGTACGTTCCCTCCGACATGTCCTCTTGTCCCTATCTCTACCTCCTCGCACGTTCCCTCCGACGTGTCCTCTTGTCCTATCTCTACCTCCTCGTACGTTCCCTCCGACATTTCCTCGTTACCCTATCTTTACCTCCTCGTACGTTCCCTCCTACCGTTCCTCTTGTCCCTATCTCTACCTCCTCGTACGTTACCTCCGACTTTTTCTCTTGTCCTTATCTCTTCCTCCTCGTACGTTCCTTCCGACTTTTCCTCTTGTCCCTATCTCTACCTCCTCGTACGTTCCCTCCGACTTTTCCTCTTGTCCTTATCTCTACCTCCTCGTACGTTCCTTCCGACTTTTCCTCTTGTCCCTATCTCTACCTCCTCGTACGGTCCCTCCGACGTTTCCTCTTGTCCCTGCCTCTTCCTCCTCTTGTCCCTATTTCTTTTGCTCCTTCACCACTTTGTCCCCTTCTCTGCCTCCTTTTGTCCATACTTTTTCATTTTGTCCCTGCCCTTGTCTCCATATACCCGTCCTATGTCTCCGTTTGTTGCCTTTTATGGTATATAAGTTCGTCCTAAAATCATACCTTTTTATGTACGTCTAAATTTTAACATAGTATAATTAATCATGACGCGTTTAAGATACACACAAGTTTAACAAAAACATACCATACATCCGGTTATTCAATGTGTTTCTATTGTTGCAAAGAGATTAGTCTATCTCAAGTCGACACAGTGCCGCAATAATTTAAAAAGGAATTCAAAGACACTTCTTTATGGGCGACTTTCAATGATTTATCAAAGAAAGGACATGAGTTTCTTTATTACATTTATTTAAAGAGACGATTCCGAGCACCAACAAAATTCCTTTGAGATTATTCTCCCTTATGTGTTTATGATTATTCGATGGAGTTTTTTTTTAAATGTCAATTGTTACTCGGTCAAAATTCAAATTAGATGTTTTAATCATAGATAGAAAATCGGAAACACATGTGGGTCTGTAGACAATGATATACTCAATAACTAATAATACTCATAACCGCAATTTTTTACTGTCTTGGATGGCTCTCATAGACATACGTAACTTAAATCTCGTCATTGACATCAATGATTGTATATAATGTAATACTCAAATCGACGAGTCAAAAGACTCGAGGGACGGAAGAGCTATGACGCAACAAATCCGTTGAAACCAGTAACAATATGCTTCCATTGAACATGTCTGTACGAACGTAACGTTGATACGAGGAATGTTGAAATATACGCCGTTTATAATGACCATTATAACATAAAAGTTAAACTTAGATTTTAAAAGCTCAATAGAGGGTTAACTATGCAAAGGTGTGTGCAGTCCTTGAAAGGTAGCCATACAAATACTTGTTCTTTCAACAGAAATTTCTATAAAAAATACTGGAAGCTAATTGAACGATTATAATTAATTATTTAATACATCGTTCAATTACAGGGCCAAGATTGTAACACGTATTTAGGTAAAGTGAAGTGCATAGCAATACACAAACACGCTCGTATGCATACACTATATATAACTGATTAGATCGGCCCGAATCAGGCGTGACTTCTGCATACTTGTTTGAACAGGTAAATTGGTTGTATACCCGTTACTATACACATACATATGTACCCTGCCTGGTACTGGTGGTATAGAGCTTTAGGTCCGCGCCAGCGATCGCTCATAATCATATGTGTTTAATGTTACCGGGCCATACATGTATATAAATACATGTGTTTGAACTGACTGACTTTATTTATAGCTTATTGGTATGTCGACTTTGCTTACCAGAGTGACGTTGTCATGACCGGAACGTACAGTTAAACAACTAAAAGAAAACATGGCGTGTGCAACGGGTTTTCTCGAACATTTCAGTTAACACAATCATACATATGTACCTCGAAATGTTTGGGGTAGCTAAGATGACTCCGAATTGAAGGCGATCGAATTTTAATCAGCGTTTGAGGAATCAGAACCAGGTGGGTGATTTCTAAATGAAGAACATTTAAACTTTATGTCCATGTGTCAGTCAAAATTGTGTTATTTGTGTGCCAATATAAGCGATAAGTGCATGTATTGTATGGTTATATATATCTAAAAGGAAGTATTGTCTTGTATATTATCGTGTATAAATGTATACATTATATACGAACGGTCGACTTTCAGAAAGAACCCTATTGCGTCTGAGGTTTTAACTCGGAAAAAGGAAGACAATTTTTATCCGGATTAAAGGCAAATGGATGTGTAAACTGAAATACTTTTTCTGATAAAAGTGTCTAGGATTTTATATGATAGGTTAGTTTAATAATTAAGTCATCTTAGTAACCTAGTTACAACTGGTGTGTATGCCTGTCTAACGTCAACCACGGACTTAGATAATTCCGTGCCTCAACCCAAGCCCCCATCTTTTTTCCTAAACTTCCTCCGCAGATTTGATAATTTATTCAGTTAAAAAACTCTTTTTAGTTTTTTTAGTTAATATTTCCAGTAATATATATATATATATGTAAGAGGGGTTGTTAAATCAGGCTGGTTAAATTGATTTTTGTATATCAGCACGGGTGAGGATACAAAATAATCGATATAAAGGTATTTCTGTATGTAAATACACCACCAGAAATTGAATAATGGATTAGATATACCGGAAGACTGACTAACCTCAAAAGAAATACGAAAAGAAAATCTCTGAAAGAGCATCTCACTGTTATGTTATCGGCTTGGCAGGGAGTTGAATATGGCATTTTGCGCAAATCAAGCAGTAATATTAGATTCTAAAATCCAGTGTGTTTTATATATACCACGGGATTATCATACTCTCTGAAATCCCCCTGATGGCTAAAGCAAGTGTATATCTGAGAACCAAAGTAACAATAGGTAGTCTTTATAACCAGGACAGGTAAAATTGACCAGTGTTAGAACTACAGTTTGTCATTGTCCAGTAGTCTCGGCCAGTTAAATCTCTCAAGTGCTGGCCACTACGTACATTGTATACTGGACGGTCATAGATTACAGCTAGGTGTGTAGGGCGAGAGTTTATTGGATGTACATAATTTATATCATATTTATTATAAGAAAGATATTAGCAAATATAGTAGCATTAAGGTTATTTTATCAGGCCTGGAGGTTTGTCTGAGTATGCTAGAGTATTTGTTTACACTGCAGACATCCATAATAATCTGAGATGCCTGTGAACTAATTTTAAAGTCACATGACGAAAAGACAAAGTAATAAAATATCAGTGGTTATTGTTCTATATATTGCCTCCAATAATTAACATTACACTCAGCCAATACATTGAATAATATATTCAAAAAGTGACTTTATTACTCAAGGAAAAAAATGTTTATACAATGATATAATATATATGATAACTATTTCATTGTAATTGTGACAATATAATTGAAATGTATATTTTTATCGTATTTCAAATCAAGATATTTCTAGTTCATTTAAAGATTTCTTTATAAAATAAAATAAAACATCTCATACAAGTGTTAAAAGAGATATCGTTAAAAGAAACCATGAAACTTTTAAATGTTATAGAGATATCGTTAGGTGAATTAAATATATATTCAAATCAAAAAGAGAGATCCCTAAAAGAAAATTGGGATATCTCTACAAGAATTTTAGATATTTTAAAATGTCAGGCAGAAGTAAATTATTACTATCAAACTTTGATAGAATCTGGGGAAAACATACCGTAACAAAACCAGTTGTCCTTGACCGGTTCCTCGCATCATGAAAACCGTTCCATGAAAGAGCTAAAATATTGTGAGAGAAAAAATCAAGGAAATCATCTTTTATTATCCGAAGTATCATTTCGAAACATCAGCATTGAATTAAGGGGGAAATGCAATAGAGAAATGTATAATTTACGAAATATGGTGAAAAAGATAGTTCGTGTTTAATTTGACTCGAGGCTGTACCTCATAGGCACGGCACTACTATACACTAACCGCATAAACAATTGATCTCGTTCGGTCCGGCGGTTAACTTGACATGCATTGCATGTAGCACCCTAAACTTGGAAAACAATTCATCGCTTCTGTTTAGCAAGCGAAATCGACTCTCATCATCAGACAATGTTTTTGCTTCGTCACGCTGAGACGAGTTGAAATAATTCAGTATATTTCGGTATCTCTACCCGATGCTACAATGTAGTTTGAAATAGTACCCAAAACCCGTGTTGGAAAAATGAAAGCTTTAACACCCCATAACTTATACTTACGACACGCTAAACCTGCGACCCGCCATCGTATTACTATATCATGTGTTACTATATTACCTAGTAACAAACCAACCGTGTAATCATTGACGCTGAAAGTAATGCCTGTGATACCGTAATGGTGACACGACCGATACTATTTCAGAGGGAAAGATTTATTATCAATATCAATGTTTTCAAAGGATTTCCGGTTGAACAGAATATCGATAATTTGGAATGTGAACTTTCTATACACTCCATCCGTTGCACAGGAGGTGTATACACTATGATCCATTAACGCTAAAACATAGGTAAATGATGTATACAGTGTACGTAGGTCTACATTCTAAGGTACATGTAAATACCATAGGCTTTATCAAGTTTACGGTTAAAGGTTTAACAGTTGACTCCCAATCTACTTCGGTCGGTCGAGATTGTATTTTTATGTTAATTGGGAAATATGAAACTCTACGTTTATCTCGCGCAGCAGTTATTTTGTATAAAGATCAATACAAGATACACGATTTTGTATTTTGAGTCGTCATTATATGTTAAATCCATTCTATATACTGCCTCTTCTAAGACCTACACAATAAAAATCTAGCAGTAAGTGGACATTCATTCCACTTCATTTAGGGTAAATTGTAAATAGTTGATTCACTTTATTGTTAGATTCTTGAATAATCCGGGGATTTCCTCTCTCTCCTCTGCTTATATAGGACACTGAAGAAATCAGCATTGTCTCCCGGCTATCTTTGCAACACTTGGAACCTCTATCGTTTTCTCTCTTCTACCATTTCGTTTATTTTGGCATTTTCTCCTTAGTCACCCACCCATCTTCATATTACCTTATACATGTAATATAGGATAATTGTAATTAGCTGTTGCTAGAACGTTAAACCCACAACAAGACAAGGATAAAAAGAATCAGACGAGCCTTACGAACAGACTTACATATTTCACCATTTTTTCAGTTATTTTACCACTTTCTTTACCTTTGAACGTTGCAATATGCTTATATTTTTTTTGTAAATCGATTTTCCGTCTGATCAACAGACTTCACAAAACATTTTTCTACCATATTCGTATATTGTCTTGAATGATTGAAATTATATTTATTTTATTATTTCTATATGTTTAAATGCCGTTCATAACGTCGTGTCTTGGATTATTTTGAGTTCAGTAAGCGTGTCTGCTTTAGATATAAGTAGGTGTCTGACAGTGGAGACGAGTAATTGATTTTATTATGTGTGTGATCCTTGTAGGAGGTCATTCTCTGAAAATATTAACCCTTTCCTAAGCGACAGTTTACATAAAGACATGTGCTTATGTGTAATGAGTCCAGGGAACCATCCCTTTAACTATAGTCATACAAATAGTTGGGCGATTATTTTTCTGTAGCAAACCAAAATGAAAAGGACTTATTTTTTCCGGCAAGGGTTTTCTTCATAAAACGTAAATTTCTTTATAAAAAGTCAAATTCTTCATTGTCATTTAGCCATATCGTTGAAATAATAAATAAATTCTGCTAACAAAATATCACGTGATCTCCATTAAGAGACACACACTTGCGATTGCACTTTTAAATATTTGCCAATTAACTTCGAAGTTTGTATTATCCGAAGTAATGTTAAGGTTTGTTACTTAACAAATTAGCATTCCATTTATCATACGAATAAAAGAACAGAATCGACTCAACCATCAGTGTTAAGATAATCAAATAAACAAAACATCGATACGACGATAAACAAACTAAACGTTCATGTTTCGGGCTAAACTATATACAGATAAATAGTTATATCACATACACATTGAAACCTTCAAATCTGCTCTTAAAAATCTCTGAAAAAAACAATTGATTCAGAGATTTCAGAGATTTTTATTATCACTCAGGCACACTATTGTGCGCAACAAGAGGTCATCATAAAGTACAATATAACAATGATATGGTTGACCGTAAAGCAATCATCTTACTATGCTAGCGTACAATAATATAGTGGAAACTATTACACTCCTCATACAATGATAAACACAATATTACACTGTACTATCATACCTTATTATAATAGACAGTATAACGCACTGATCATACAATGACACTCATCATACACTGTGATATATACATTATTACACTCATTTTACAATACTATTACGATGGTATAATCCATAGCATTACATTCACACATACCGTGCGTTCACACTATGGTATAGCAGGCACTGTTGCATCCATCTTACAGTACAATCCTACAATAATATTATTACAGTATTACACATATATATCCCTGATACATATATTATAGATAGTATACCACACCATACAGTGCAATCATACCATGGCATAATAGTGACTATACTACTCATCATACCATATAATATTACAAAGGTATAATAGACAGTGTTACAATCCCATCATACAATACTGTAATAGAAAGATAACAAACAAACCGTGATAAGCAAGCTGTAACCACACTCATTATGCAATACAATTATGTTAGGTTTAGCAAATGATCAGTAATATCTATATGTATACAAAAGTTTACAGTTTGATGTGTGAAATTCACATATTATTTTTTAATTGTCTTTCTAGTAATTGTATGAACAGCGATAGATTTGATAATATTCTAACATTACATATTGATATTAATCCTTTCATTTTATGAACAGATGGATTAGAGGTGTAATAAATAGGTATATATTTTCTGCGGATTTGACTTACATAAGCATTTGAACATATAAACAAATAATGATACTCGCTTCCAACTCCAGTAAAACAAAGCGGACAGATTCTGCCTTCACGTGGTGTTCTAGTCCATCGCCCAGTCTCTATAGGCAGAGATATATTACTGGTTCTGAACTTACAGATAGTTATTCTATCTTTTTGTTTGAGCATAGTTAAGTATTTTTCAAACTGAAATTGATGTTTAAATATTGCATATGTTTGACCCCGGGAAGAATTTTCAATATCAGTATACCATTGTTGTATAAATTGGTCATACAGAATAGTTTTAAAACTAACCCTAAGGTAATTTTTATTCATAGTGCAAGTTTTTTGTTGTAACCATACGTAACTTAGTCCCGTGCAATTGAATAGATTCTTGATATATGAAATCCATTTAAAATCAGCGAAATCATTTTCATGTAAATTCAGCATAAGCTTGTACATTATACTAGACAATTTATTTTCACCTGTAATTAGTTTATACCAAAACATTATCATTCTAGATTTAATTTCAATATTCAGAGGGTACCTACCCGTTTCACCATATACCATTATATTTGCTGTGGAGCTACGTATGTTTAAAATTCTTTTACAAAACTGTACATGTAATTTCTCAATCATATTGGTATTTTCAAACCCCCAAATTTCTGAGGAGTACAAGAGGATTGGGGATATTAATACATCAAACAATTTTAATTGTAGGTCAATTGGTAAAATAATATTTCTTATTTTTTTATATAATGCATACATTGCTTTTTGAGCCTGTTCAACAAGTTTTTTTCTTGCTTTACAGAAACTGCCATTATAATGAAACAGCAGTCCTAGAAACGAGTAACAGTCATGTGTTTGCAACTCTTCACCAAAAAGAGTAAAACGAATATTTTGTGCATTACTTTTTCTTTTTTCAAAGATAACAACTTTAGTTTTATTGAGATTAACTTTAAGTTTCCAAATAGTACAGTAAGTTTCAAATTCACGGAAAGCATTCTGTAGACCTTTAGCTGTTTCAGACATAACAACTGTGTCATCTGCATATAGCAGAATAAATAATTTAACAAATATACCCATGCGATCTTGAAATAAATTATCAATATAATGGAGTTGGTCAACATTATTTTGCATTAAAAATTCTTCTAAATCATTTAAATATATTGAGAACAAAAATGGGGAGAGATTTTCACCTTGTTTTACCCCGACGTGACATGTGAAAAAATCAGTCATACCATTGCTAGTTTTTACGCAAGATTTAGTGTTTGCATACAGATTAATTATAGCATTAAATATCTTTCCTGTGATATTATTTTTTAATAATTTCTTCCATAAACCTACTCTCCAAACAGTATCAAACGCTTTTCTGAAATCGATGAATGAACAGAATAGCTTTTTACTTTTTGAAAAGTATATAGATATTAAAGCATGAAGGATAAATATATTTTCAGTTGTAGAATAGCCTTTCCTAAAACCAGCTTGAACATTGGAAATTAGATCAATTTCTTCTGAAAGTCTATTTAATCTAGAGTTCAAAATAGCAGTAAATACTTTGCCAAGACATGAGACTAATGTAATAGCTCGATAGTTATCGAGATTTTTAGGGTCACCCTTCTTTTTGTATATGGGTTTTATTACTCCAATTGTCCATGCTTCTGGTACACGGCCAGAGTTCAATATAACATTAAAAAGTTTAACATATATAGGTAGTAGTATAGACTGTGTATTTTTGATATGCTCATTTAATATATTATCGATACCCGGCGCTTTATTATTACGAAGGTTAACTATAACCTGTCTAATTTCATTTTCAGTCACATCACTATTTAGTATAAAATCAAACATATTTTCATTCATATCTGGAATAATAAACTCATCCTCATCTTCATCTTCATCTGAACTATTTAATTTCTTGAAGTATTCATATAGCTCGTCCAAAGATATATCAGCATCACTGTTATCATTTTTAGATTTATTGAATGAATTTAAAATATTCCAAAAATCTTTAGGATTTGATTTTGACGTGATTCGTATTTGATTTTCAATGTTATGTCTATATGTGTTATAGCTCTTTTTAAGGACCTTTTTATAGTCTCTAGAGGTTTTATTCATATTAACTCGGTTACTACTGGTTCTATGATTTTCAAATTTATGTTTTGCATAAAAAAAGGCACGCCTTTTTCTGTGACAGTCAGCTGTAAACCATGGCTTATCATTAGCAACTTTATGTGTATTGAGTGTTCTATAAGTTTGTTTTAATCCGAAAGTATCGGTAGCTGAAATTCGGAACAACTCGGAAATATAATTAACTACATCATTTACTTCAGACTGACTGACAGAAGGTTTGTCAGACAAAACATTAAGTGCATCATTTATGCGGTTTAATTCATCGACAGAACAACTTTGTACATGATGTATAAATTCATTTTTCTTATCATTCTTCCATGTTATATATCGACCTTGACCGTTACCTTGACCTTGACCAACATGCATATTATCAGAGCCATTCGTGTTTTTCAAAAAGCCACTGAGAGTAAAAAATAACCTACAATGCACATCGGATATTGTTGGATCAAACTCAAGAACTTCAAATTCATTTATAAAAGGGAATAACCCTGACGAGACAATTAGATAGTCAACAACACATAGTCGAGAAACAAAAACTTTTTTAATAAATGGTTCTACTTTTACTTTGTTTCTTAGATATCAATTCAACATGGATGACATCCCAGATAGTATGCGCCATAGACCTCGCCGGCAGTCAAGTGTCGTTACATCTGTTCGGGAGGTCTCGGAAGATGGCGATTATGCAAGTCTTAGAGAGGCAAGGAAGGTAAGAAAAGAGCAAAAATATGATGACAAAATACACAAGTTAAAATTACCAGGAAACAACACACTTAAGTTACAAGGTAAATTTTAAAACATTCACTACAAAATAAATTCAAAAGGAAAAATTGAAAATCAAAGACATTATGATAAGACAACACCAAGACAGCATAAGCCTCTATGAAAACGAACAGAAAATATAACAGGTCTTTCGGAAGGGATGTTGTTTTGATATGTATGACGCAATGTCATATTGGCATCAGTTGGCACGACATGAAATCAACATTTGGACGTATATTAAGCTAAAGAAAAGTTTGATGATATATCAACCTCCATCCCATAACTGTACTAATATACGTGTCTAAACTCGAGTTAAGTGTATGTTTGTATTCTAGGTGAATACAGCAACAGCTAACGCACACCGATAACCGACGTCATACGTCTGCATATCTGTTTTGCTGTCATATCCTAACTATTTTAATCATTCAAGCATGGCTCCGATGTGTACTCATCTTTTGACTCTAGCTTGCAATACGGATGTATATAAGAAAATTCACACCAGTTGATATAAAAGATGAAATATTTAGTACATTGTATAGTATGTACATATTCGGGATTTCAATAAGAGAAAAAATGATTGCTTATGCAAATAATTATTTTCTTTATATCTTATCTTTTTTTCTTTCTTTTTTTAATTTTGCAGGCTAAAGGAAAGATAAAATTATCACCAGTTGCTGAACACAGTTTGAACGACGACAGTGGTATTGTAAGTGAAGAGGCGTTCGAGGTCAGTGCATCAAAACCATCACAGCGCCCATTTTCACCACCGGCTGATGAGCGTTATGAGAAGGTCCGAGTTCAGCTTTTCGACGTAGTGGAGAAGGGAACGCCATCAGATGTGCAAAACATGATGGCAAAGGCTGAGGGTTATGTTCCTTTGCACCACGCTGCTATGTTAGATCATTCAAATAATCAGACTATTTTACATTATGCCTTGCAACTTGGCAGGATAGAAATAGTTGAAACAGTTATCGACAATGGCAGCAAAGAGTTACTACGACAACTTTTCACGTTACCGAAAACAACTCGCTCAGCGCTACATCAAATTACAGAGCGAAACAATTTGGATTTAGCAACAAAGTTTATGGACAAATTTCCGACCCAAGCCGAAAAAATTGAAGTGATAAAACCAGAAACCATGGTTGAAATAGCTGGGCAAAGACCAAGAACGTTTTCAGCGTATCATCTAGCTGCTTTCAAAGGCTTCACAGATTTGGTAAAACTCTTCTTGGATTCCGGAATAGATGTTAACTCTCTAAACGTGAAGAAAGACAGCGCCCTGCTTTGGGCTGCCAGATGGGGCCACAATGAAACAGTTAAATTTCTCTTAGAAAGAAAAGCTGATGTGAGTTTGGAAAACGATAAAAAATCGACGGCGTTGTATTGGTCTGTGCGATACCAATTGATCGATACTGTTGTGATATTGTTAGAAAAAGGCAAGGCCAATCCAAACCAGACAAGGCTTCTGGGACTTGTAGCTCCAATAGTTATGGCTTCGGCGTTAGGGAACAACGATATCGTCAAAGTGTTACTTGACAATGGAGCAGATGTCAATATGACAATCCGAGGAGGAGAAACTCCACTTCATCACGCTGCCAAAGAGGGACATCTAGACGTAGTCCAGACTCTTCTGGACAAACAAGCAGACCTTAATGCACAAGATGAAAAGGGTGAACGATCTTTGACACTTGCAGCACAAAATGGACACGCAGACGTTGTGAAATATCTTCTTAAGTGTGGGGCAGACATGTACCACAAGAACCACTTTGGGTTTGATTCTTGGTACTATGCGATGGCACAACACAATGAAATTGTTCTGCGGGTGTTGACTGAACACTACACAAATCTACGATCCAACACTATAAAAGTGAAATCCCCATTGTGTATCGCAGCAAGTCTTGGAAATTGTCCGATGATCAAAATCCTTCTGAAGATGAGAGTTGATCCTGAAGAAACAGATGAAAACGGAAATACATTTATTCACCATGCTGCAATAAACAACCAGGATAATGTGATAAAACATTTCCACAAAAAGGTCAGCATTGATGCGCAAAACAACTGTAAGGAAACAGCTATGCATATTGCATGCAGAAGAGGAAGTCATGACGTTGTCTTAGAGCTGATGGACAAAAAGGCTAAATCCAATATTGGCAATTTGAAAGGAGAAAACGCCCTCCACGTGTTGGCTTCGTCGAAAAAAACATCCCCAGGGATTGCACGAGCTCTTGTGGAACATACTATTAAATCGCATGACTGGGAAAGTGTAAATGCTACGGATAACGAGGGAAACAATGCTCTTCATATTGCCGGATTATATGCAGAACCTGATGTTCTTTGGGAATTTCGATTCGTCAGATTCAAGGACGTCGACACAGAGGGAAATACACCTCTTCACGAGGCAGTGATTTCTGGGAACCAAGAGGTTTTAGAAACTTCTCTAGACATCTACGAGAATATGCAGAGAGATGCTGACATCAATACACTGAACAAGAGATCTGAAAGTGTGTTGCATTTGGCTGCATCTGCAGGTTTTTCCGACAGTGTAACAAGATTGATCTTTTATGGTGCAGATCTTACTTGTGCTGACAAGGACGGAAACACTGTTCTTCACAGACTTGTCAGGGATATGGCGGAGAAAAAAAGTGATCTGAAGGCCAATGCACGTGTAATGGAAACGATTCTCAACGATTCTGTTCGATGGTGGTGCAACCATCATGGATTAATCTATCCGGGAGAGAACGAATCCCTTTTCAAACAATTACAAAGGAAAGCACTCCTGTCTTTGGTCAATGATTACCCTAACAAGCATAATCTTTCTGTGCTAGCGTACGCTTACAAAGTTGGATCACACCTGTTTTTGAATCGAATCCTCACCATGCCAGACGTGATGATGTTTCAGAAGGAAGATGACATTTACTTTGACATCACCCATCTCACACCAACAACCAACCACAACCTCGCAAGATGTTGCAGTTGTTTGTCGGCTAGAGTCCAGCATTCGAATTCTCACATCGATCTCCTGATGACGCTTGATGCGAAAGGACGTGCTTCGCATGTGCTTGACATTCCTCCAGTTCGACAAATCGAAAGAATGTACACTGCAATTTGTGCATGGGCTTATGGGTTTTTCATGATCATGCACATTCTTTACATGAGTGTATTTTCGTACGTAGGCATAGAAATCGCTTCTAAATTCCGAGACCTTGCCAATGGTACCCCACTGTCAGACTCGGATCCCCTGATGATAGTTGCATACATCGTTGTTCCTATAGAACCCGCCATCGGTCTTCTATATGGCATGGTGGACCTTTGTAGAAATCTATGTCGACGGGAGCTACCTACGTTACGGAACTTTATGACTTTTCTTTTTGTGATTATGTTTGCAAGTTTGGTGTTTTCCTGGCTGATAATGATTGCTGTTCGCAGCACAGATCACGACTATGTCTTGTCCATTTGCTTGTGTTTAGGATGGATGCTGTCTATTTCATTCACAAGAGGTTTCAAAGGAATCCACTACTTTTTCAAGATGTTAGTGAACATGATCATGAGAGATGTATTTCGTTTCCTCATAGTATTTTCGTTCGTTCTTTTGGCATTTAGTATTGCACTCCATACCCTCTTTCAGATTTCTACAGATATCGTAAACACGTACACAGATCCATTTGAAACTATATTTCTAGCTTTTAACATGATGATCGGTATGGCGGAATTATTCGACGGTACAATTGAAACAGGCATGGAAAGTGTTGGACGGACGGCAACTTTCGTAAAGGCCTTTTATATTGTGTACATTTTGTTGTCGACAATCGTCTTGCTGAATTTGCTCATTGCCATGATGAACGACTCATATTCGGACATTCTCAGGCACCAACAGGTATCATGGCGTGTGGAATCTGTTCAGATTGGAATAGGAATCGAGAATCTGTTTCCATGGTTTCCTTCCATATTTGGAAGAGTTACTATCAAACGAGAACAGTTCGGCATTAGAAACAAAAATGGGAACGAGGAAGACGAACGGTGGTATCTAGTGACAAATGCAAGGTCATTGGATGAATATAAACCAGACAGAGCCGATGAGGATACAGCCGAGCGAATGACAAGAGTTTTGGAAGAACGGCTCCAGGAAGTTGACGATCGAATAAGAAGTACAGAACAACGATCCATCGAGACAACCCAAAAATTTGATGAAATATTAAGCATTTTATCAAAAATAGAAAAGCGAGATGGGTCAGTGAAATAACTTTATTTTATGTGAAACGTTCTAACAAAGCTTAGAAATCAATTATGTATGAGGAGTAGAAGTTAAGAAAAAAAAACATTGACAATGAGATATGTTCTGACTATCTGTGATGAACTGACTGTGATAACATTGGTACTTTTGTACATCTCAATATAATATTTAACTTTTGGAGATTTTACTGCGTCATTGCACACACCATATAAGGTATTTGTATGTTCAATTTATTATTATATTTATTAATTGTTATTATTATAATGAACGTTCAGTAATTTTCTTTTTGAAAGATGTTAACACCTTAAATATAACAATGAAAAATATAAAAAAATAAATATGATACACATGGAATAAAGCAAGAACATTCACCTGATTGCATTGATAGCTTAAAAAGGCATTTGGTTAAAGGTTAATTTTGGATGTATCACTCTTTTGAAACTCCCAGAAAAAGGTAATGTTTACAAAAGGAAGTTTTTGCTTAAAATCAAATTATTTTTCTACTAGAAATATGCCATGTTTACTAGGTGCATGTTGTAAATAAATATGCTACTATTCTTGTTACGTTCAACCAATGTTGAAACGAGGCTGATTTTGAGGCCGATCAGTGTAGTTACTGTGCATACGTGTTAGTAGTCAGGTATGTCGTATTTAACATCTATCTTCTTTGATTTTTAAGGATAAAGCAAACAGTTTTGCGCCTGGGAGTACAAGTGATCATTTTTTTACACCACTGAATGAACATTTTAAGAAAACGGTCATTTACCATACCATGAGATAATCGCATTGGTCCCGATAAAGCGGGATTCTAAAATATACATTATATTTGAATGTGAAACTTGAGGCGATCACGACTTAACTGATTTTTTTACAAGAAATATCAACATATTGTACTTACTATGTATTATATTGTTTTCGTCATTACTAAATCCGTATTTGGCTGTATTCTAACAAAATCGGAATATTCTACTACAACCAGTTTCATGTTTAAGTACTATACCGGTATATATCTATTTAACAAAAACTTCATATTTGCACCAATAGACCTATAATTACTGATATTATTCACATGGTTTAATCAGTTATAAATTAGAAACTCAAATGTCAGAACAAAATTTTTCAACAGATTCGTGAACTTTTGGATTTTAAAAAGTGTTTGTTTTTTCTTTGTTTGTAAACACTGTACATCGTTTTAACAAAGCCTTTTAACATATTATAGTACATTGTATATACATGGATGTTTTACATACATGTGTATATTCATTACTTAACATACATATCATTTACATAATATTTATAAATTTCCATTATTTTACAATATATTTTTACATAACACAAATACATATATATATAAACACATGAACATACAATGTTGCACATTTAAAAATATTTGTTTTGAAGATATATTTATTACATGTATAATATATGATGCTTTACATTTTATTTTACGTGTAATATCTATACATATGTTTATCGATTGTTCTCTGCGTAACTATACACGAAATATCTGAAGTGATAATCGATTCAACTCACATGTTTACTAAACAAAATATTCATCTCAAACTATAAATGATCAAATACTCTGAATTACGTCAATATTCTCCCGGATTTAAACTATTGGTAGATTATTGTTGCGAATAATCGATTATCACGATAATTAGTATGCAGGTTCTACTAATATTAATACGATGATTATGTATACGTATTTCATGTAGCAATCTTGACACAGAGTGACGCCCTGTGATACTCGTTTTGTTTTTACTACGAACTTTTGTTCCATACTACGAAACTGTTCTACAATATTTTGGAATGACGATTTGTGCATGCTTATGAATTGATCACACATTAACTAACAAATGTGCAACAGTAAGTTATTCGGGATACGTAGATGATATATCAAAGAGACAGCTCGACCTCGAACACATGTGTAATCCTTATTCCATTTATTATTCCAAAGGGATTTTACAGTTGTGGTAACAATGTACTAACATCGGACCATCGGACTTAGCCATTGTATCAACTATGCATGAGAAACAAAATATATAGGTGGGCTTTTTGTTATGAAATGTTTAAATTTTGTTACTAGTCAAGGGAATTTAAATATGTAATACTATTTAATAGTAGTACAAACATATCTTATCTTACAAATTTCTTTTAACACGTTTCGGGAGGTTGTTTGAATTTCTAGTGTACGATCCAATCAGGACTTGTATTTTCCCTATTATATGGTATGAAAACCTGAATGAACATGTGAAATTTGTTCTTTTAAAGTTAGGTCGTTAAATTTATCTGACGAATAAACTTTTTTTTAATTCTAATTAAATATTCAATAGAGTTTTATTTTTGCATTGTCCGTTTTCTGTTTCTGATCTAATATTGACCCCTTGGATTTCTATTTTGGCTTATTTTGATCAATGCTCACATTTTGAACGAATACTGTTCTGTAAAATGTATTGCAACCTATGATTTATGTTCAATTCATCTACAGATCAGGACCTAATCAAAATACTTAAAGTGCTAATTGTATTGCTTTATTTGACTAGATACATGTACTCTTTCCTTAGAATGTTTATATATATATATTTTATGTATTGGTAATAGATGTATGCTACGTCTAACAAAACCATACGCAAGACATGTATCAGAAGTATATAGCTGATATATGTTAAAACACAATTCGTCTCTGTATCAACAATAAAATTTAATATGCAAACGCACATCTAACAAGTGATTTGACATTGGACTAGAGTGTGTTTATACAACAACGAACCTTGGTTAGAGGTAATAAACTGTTAAAATTGAATAACGACTTGGTTTTATGTTACTTGAACAAAGTAGTAAAAATCAAGCCTTCATAATCCAGAGGACGTGTTGTTGATCGATAGTTTTATCCTCACGTGCACTCCACAACTAATTAATCACACCATTCTTTTTAATGAGATGTGTGTTATATTCTCCTCATCATAATACTTCTGTGTAGTGAGTTTTGTTTCTCTTTCATCAATCGTTCTTCAAATGTTTGCGTACTTCATGTATTTTTCTCTCACTATAACACTGCAATGTGCTATTTTCCTTTTATAATTCACTCTTTAATGTGCTGTGTACTATCTCTCGCTTATCAATTTCTCCCTCTCCACTGCTACATGTTTGTTCAATGAAGGTTTTCAGCTTCACAATCAAATTGCTTATTGCGAGCAAACTTTGTTTGCAGAACGAAACTGAGCAAAAAAGCACAACAGCAACAACAACACTCCGTAACGGAACGAAGTTCTTGAATTCACACGATGACTTCACAAAGTCAATCGTAGACCCGCCAAACAAAAGGTTAGGCATCACAAACTCCTACAAAACCCCGACGGAAAACCAGGTTACCGCGTAGGTTCCGTATCTGTTGGTCAGTCCACCACACCCAAACTAAGACAAAGTGAACAAATTTTCTCTGGTCCATAGTAAGACATTTGTATAGAGTTATTAAGTATGAGGATACTAACACCCATTCCCCGGTTGTTAATCATTATATAACGATCAGTATATCTATGGAAAATGACGTTCAACCATTAGTAACGATCTGAGTATATGATAATAAAGCATATGTATATTACAATGACATTCCATTGCCAGTACGGAAGCAGGATAAAATGATTTAATATAAGACAAATGACACCACATCCTCAATAAGGAATTGGTACATTATGATAAAGTGCACCTTCACAACATCCCTGCCGATTATACTGTAAATTGATAAAAATTACAGGAAGGTAACACCATCAGCCTAGAAAGTAATTAATTGATAAAGATGTAATATAATTATGCTAACACCAGAAACTTAGATAATATTCAGTATAATGATAAGGTATACGGACATAGTATGTTGCTTGCTAAGTTAGCAGTAAAAACTGCAATTTTAATAAGTGCTTTTCAGTATCTTGATCAAAGCTACAAAGCTGAGGTACATGTACTGAGATTGTAATCAGCCTTCGTAAACGTTTCCTTAAGAAAAGTTCTCAGCGTAAGATAACAAGATGGCCATGGCCTACATCAAGGCCTTATCTTTACCCACCAGCAAAATGGCGGCCAAACATGACCACAACATCGCCATTATTGGCAGGTACGTAGTGTTCTGTTTTATCCAAAAAAAAACGCATTAGGGTTTTTTGTTATAGATATTTAAAGAAAGGAACGTTAAGACTTATTCTGTAAATATGTAAATATGTACATGAATTCAATTCATTTTTTACTTGATCATTATGACAAAACAAACACCGGCTACCTGTATTACCATCCGTAATACTCCAGGGGTTAAGTTCACTTTCGCTCTCTGCACCCCTGGAATATGTCATAGCAAAGTTGACTGCTCAGTATGCACCACCTTGCACCTTACGACATATTCTGTTGAAGTACGTCAAAGGATCAAACTAGTCTCCTCGTCTCATCCACAAGGTGGTGCACACTGAGCCTAAGTGAGCGTAACCCCTGCAGTGTCGAGGATACCTGTATTACTATTCGTTAAATGTAAATTCTTTGATACAAGTTTCATAAATAGCGATAATTAAACGATCAATGGTTAAACCAAGAACAAATTAAACTGTTTATTGTCTATAAAAGGTAAGAGAAAGAGCGTTCACGAGAAACAATAAATCAAGATGGTTAACAAAAACCTCTGATGTTTGACGAGCATTGCGGTGGTGTGCTCAAACTATGGCGTTTAATGTGAATTTGATTGACAGTAACATTTAACTGTTCGTTTCTAATTACTAATGATGCCATAGTTCAAATATTTTTCTGAGACACTTTCAATTGTTGTCACGACATACAATGTAGTATGTTTTCCTTCAAGTGGGATCATTGGGCGGAACTGGACAATGGTATTCGCTTCAGGTGGATGCAACGTAAATATTTTCGACAGTGACGAAAATCAAATACAAAGTGCATTGGTGGCAGTAAAAGAAACTTTGGAGCAATATGAAAAGGATGGAATTCTGAAAGGCTCTGATTCAGCAGCAGATCAGATCGCAAGGATCAGAGGGTGCTCCACCGTCAAAGATTGTGTATCGGACGCAACCTTTGTTATGGTACGTTTTCTTTCTTTTTGTTTCTTAATAATGTTCTGATATATTTCCTACTACCAACATGATAACCGTCCGACTTCTATGTTTATCTGTCTGAGCTATATTGAGTAAGGCTCAGCTAACCTGAAATGCTTGCACAAAATATGTAAAACTGATATTTGGAAAATGAAAACAGGCTACAAAAATATTACGTAAGAAAGGACGAAGCTTTATCAATATTGCAGTCAAATCATCTGGAGTTAAGGTCTAGTGTTCGGAAACCATCTATTTTACAGGAATGTGTCCCGGAAAGACTGCACATCAAGAGAAGTGTGCTAAGCCAAATAGATTTATATGTCAAAGACGATGACGTCATCATGGCAAGTTCCAGCTCCTCCATTTTCCCGTCCGTACTCTCAGAGGGAATGCAACATAAACGACAGATCATAGTGACCCATCCGGTATGATAAACATCCGAGTACAGTGCTGTCACGTGTTGTAAGGTTGAAATTGTTGCGTTTATAAAATCCGCGCAGAAATATACACTAAAAATCATATTGACCCCCTATATAATACACTAGATATTACATTTGTGTGCATAATTTCAAGTCCTACCGTAAACACCACTTTTACATCCCATGTATGTGAAATACTTTCACGTTTGTACTCATCTACATATTTAAACGTGTATGAATCTATCTTGACTAACTCTGATTATATCGGTTTATTTCACTTTGGTTTGTATTTTTCACCAGTAGCTGTTCTTATGCCTTCTACTTAAATCATAATTAAGATTTTAGTGTTGTATAATATTTCGTTAGTAACTGATACATACATGTGTGTTACCTTTTTAAAACATGCATTTCCTTTGGAAGAAACTATCAAAGTCTGTCTTTAGAAGTAGTTCAATGTGCACATGTTGCACAGTTGCGCATGGATTATAGCACAAATGTAACGTATCCTTTACAGTAACCCCCTATATAGGATGTAAACTACACGTAGCATGGAAGTTTAACGTCTATTCATAGAACTAAAACAACACGGTTAAAACGTTGTACACACGTCACGACTTTATCTTTACACTTGTTTCTCTAACAAACAGCTGAACCCGCCGTACTTCCTACCGTTCGTGGAGGTAGTGCCTGCGCCCTGGACAGACAAGGACATCACTGAACGGGTCTGTCAGATCCTCACGAACGTAGGGATGACTCCTGCGGTCCTCAAAAAGGAAACTAAGGGGTTCCTTATCTGCAGGGTCCAACACGCAATTACGGCAGAATGCTTTAAACTCGTCAGGGTACGCATCACCTATCATTGTGCGCCAATTCGTGTATCAATTCAAAAAAGCTTAATTTATTGAGCGGCTTTTAAAATATCGCCGTTTATGCAGATTAACTAGAAATAATTCATAATAATTGTTTATCCGACATGAATTGTATTTATTTATATATTTTATATAATCTCCCCTAACTGAATTTCATTAAAGTCAACTTTAAACAAACATTGGTTCACTTCCATGTACTCAACTTTCCCCAGGTGTCTTTTAATCATTCAGTTTTAAATCATTTTTATTACAGTAATGTGTTAATTGGCAAGTCACAAATTTTGTACTTCAAGTTTATTATATTTATACCAGCTGTCACGCGATCGACGGACGCCATTTACATAGTACAAGGACGTCAACTGACAGTTATCCAGTAAAGTAAAAAGTTAACATAGCAATAATGACGTCAATGAGCCGTGCTTTAGATGCTTTGTAACAACAAATATTGACTCTGTACTGGATCTAAGCCTTAGTTGTAAAAATGATCATCGAATTAAGTCATGAAATTCATTTTGACATCAATCAAAACGCACGCAGTACGCATATTTTCGACACGAAATTAAATCGGCGATAGCTACAAAAAATAGCCCATGTTTTCATTTTTCATGAACATCGATATGCTGATGCAAAACAAAGATAACGGAACAACATTTGTAAATAAACCTCTTGAATAAACAACCTTCATAGAATCTACAGTACAGTCTTAAACCCTTGTTAATTCAGCCATGTCTTTTCTGTTCTACAGGACGGGGTAGTGACCCCTGGTGATATCGACAAGTTGATGCCCGACGGGCTGGGGAGGCGGTACGCCTTCCTTGGGGCCCTGGAAGCGTCCTACCTCAACGCTAACGGTAAGAACTGTCAAATACAAATCACTCTATGCTGTATATCGGTACTAACATGTTATAGCAATCGTGATGAGTGTTCTTAACTGTCCCATGATACGTGTATGTACGTAAGTGCATTGATTTATACACGTTATTATTTAAGCATGCTGCTTGCAATGTTACTACAGAAATGGTTGATACTTTCTTCGAATCTAGACATGAAACATATTTATTTATTTATATGGCGAAGCATCATGTCGCAGGTCAACGCAAAATACGTTTCGACATGTTCAAATAAAGCGATGCAATCTGATCAAAATCATCTGTTACATGGCTCCGCCTGAACATCTGAATGTGCCGCGGTCAGGGTCACGTTCAAGTGACCTTTAGATGAACCAATCAGAGGCGCATTGGCAAAAGTTTGCCAGCGAATCGGAATATCATGGTTGATAGATAAATAGCGAGGGGTATCGAACAGATTAGTTTTCCAAAACAAATATGGCGGCGGGAACTGACGTTTCTACGACGCCATGGAAAACGTACCCATTGGATAATTGCGTAGGCAACAACGCCATACAGCCTTTCTTCAATAATAAAGCTTCGAATATCTTTTTCTGTCAGGGTTTCAGACGATCAATCTCAAATAACTTCAGAATTTCGCATCATTCTCATCAATGTCCTCCATATTTGTTACAACTCCGAGCGCCCTTTCGAAAGAGGGTCTCTGATTGGTCAAAATTTATTGAGTATTTATAAATATAAAGGTCACCTGAACGTGACCCTGACCGCGGCACACTCAGATGTTCAGGCGTGTAGTACGAAGTTAACGAAGCCATGTAACATATGATTTTAGTCAGATTGAAAGCGATGATACTGAAAGTCTATTCATCTGGAAAATCGTATCATGATCACAATGTTAAATCTCCTTAACGTAGATTGCGTCTTGTGTAGAAACTGCTTGGTAATTGGCATGGTTTCTCCGAATTCGTAGACAGACTACATCTGCCCAGACAACATTAATTACAGGCTCTGAAGTAGCATATCGGCAATGCCATGTAGTGAACTCCATTAAAGGAGGCTGCTATGTTACTTATGAGAAAAGGGAAATGAATAATCATGAAACTGAAGTCGCCACGTTTCTCAAGAGTTCGAAATCGAGGTGACCATTTTTGTAATGTTTTTATTAAAGTGTAACTGCAAACAAGCGAAGCTGAACAAAAGTCCATTGTACGTGAATATAAAATTACAATGGTCGGGCAAATATCTTATCTCCCTTTCCACTTTAGTCATTGCATAAATTGTAGATACGAATCCAAAATCAGACTGGCTGTGTGGTGTATGTACAGTTAGTCTATTGGGCATCCTCGATATCAAGGTGTTACGTTCACTTTCGCCGAGCGTATCCCCTGGATATCGAGGATGCCTTTTAGGATGCAATGTCTGTTTCAGTCTAATATCATTTAGCAAAAAGGGTTCTCGACGAAAAATGTATGTGGACAATATTATCGTGTTTTATTGCTATCGTCGGTGTGAAGTGATGCTAAACGCATTAGTCTAGGTTATAGTTTTGGAATCGGTTGTGTTAAATCAAAACGTTTACAAGATAATTAGTCAACAGCGTAGGTCCAGCTCAGAGGACATCGTTCACTTATATATACACGTATGTATGAAGTTATTTGTACAATACAAAAAAAACACATCATTACATAGAATAAACGATCAATACAGCGAGTAATTGATAGCATAGTAACACAGCTGTATATATTACTTGCGCGGACGAATATATTCACGAGAGCGTGGAGCGCAACGAGTGAATATATACGTCCGCGCAATAAATGAGTGCTTTCTGATTCGTTAGAAAAACACAAGTGTGTGGTCTTGCTTTTATCATATACCTTCCGTATTTGGTAGAGATCGATACAAAGATTTTATAAACGTTGACATTTTTTGCAAATACCGGGAACTTTTCAGTTCGCCATGACAAGGGGCTTCCCATAAAATGTAGTTCCGGCTAGTAGGTAAATACAACATTCCGTATTGCACATGTGCAATACAGAACGTTGGATTTCATGGTCTGAAAATTGCTTGTATTACTATAACAAGATTCAACAGGTATGTGATAAAAAGAATAAACAGTACTGCTGATACTAATATGCAAACAATGACGGTAACCCGAAGGATGATACAACGACATGATGTTATTACTAACCTATGTGACTTATATTGCCTTAACAAACCTATAGGCCTAGGGATGTATACCGTTTGCCAGTCACTGTATTTCACCATCAAAGTATATAGCATATTTCTCTTTTTTCATAACAACATCAGGCATGAAGGATTTCTGCGAGCGATACGGAGATAATATATATGAACTCCAGCAGGATTTCGGCCCTCCAGTGAAGCTAGAGGGGGCACCTCTAGAAATCATTGAGGCGGACATTGGCAAACGGATACCGCTAGATCAGATACAGGAAAAACGAGACTGGAGAGACAAGCGACTGGCTGAGCTCGACAAGTTTATAAATAAAACCAAAAAATGAATCTTACATTGATTTAATGAATGCCAGTTCAATTCATTATATATTTCTAGTATAATAAAATCACGGATTTTATTGTTAATTTTCTACCATAACTTACAAAATATGGTGCGTTTCACAATGCATTTTCATTTTGAAGACGATTATGGAAAGGTGAACCTATTTCATGGCCAATTCAGGAACAAACGTTTGATTGCCATTTGATAATATAGGCCTATCAGAATTGCACATATTAAAGTTTCCGTATTCAGATATTATTTTCCTAGTGAAGATATATATGATTCAAAGGCAAAATTAGAAATACCTACCCACTTAAACAAGAGGCCCAGGGGGCCTGTATCGCTCACCTGGTTATTTAAGCAATCATGGCACAATATTTACATTTTCTCTGTAATGCCAATTTGTAACCACTTCAGACATGCAGGGTAAGAACTTGGAAGCGTTACTATGGAGACGTTATAATTCATAAATAATTAAGGTTGTGACTATTACTAGCACATTAGTTGGGTTGGAGATAAAAAGTATGTGATGGCTTTTAATACCAAACTTTACCTCCTCCCCAAAGGCAAACGAGGGACATGGGGCACATGAAAATCACAAAGTATATAAACCACTCTAAGGCCTTTACAATTATGAGTAGTATTTGATACTAGCATTTCTGGAATGCTGAAGAGTATTTTTGAAATTCGCCTCCTTTTTCACCCCAAACCCAGCCCCCTAGGGGGTCAGGGTCACAAAAATTATACCAGCAGACCTTCCTCGACTACAAGTATTTATGTCAAATATGAGCAAACTCCATTCAAAACATTGGAAGATATGGCCTATGGCCTATTATGTATATTTCCTATATAACCTATACTTAAGTTCGCCCCCTCACCAGGGGCAAACGGGGGCCCTGAGAGACATGAAAATCACAAATTTTATAAACCACCCAAAGGCCTTTACAGCTATGAGTAGTATTTGATTCTAGCATTTCTAGAACTAGAGAAGATTTTTGAAATTTCCCTAATTCCCCCCCCCCCTTTTCGGCCCCTAACTCAGCCCCCTAGGGGGGCAGGCTCACACGATTTATACCAGCAGACCCTCCTCCCCTAATGAGTATTTCTCTTAAATATGAACAAATTATTTTCAAAGATATGGCCCGTCATGTCTATTTCCTATATAAACTATACTAAATTTTACCCCCTCCTCTGGGGCAAATGGGGCCCTGGGAGACATGAAAATCACAAATTGTATAAACCACCCAAATGCCTTTACAGCTACATTGTATGGGTTGTATTTGATCCTAGCATTTTTATAACTAAAGNCCCCCCCCTAAGAGACATGAAAATCACAATTTTCATAAACAAAGGCCTTTACAACTATGAGTAGTATTTGGTTTTAGCATTTCTGGAAATTGAGAAGATTTTTTTTTTTCTCTTAATTTTCCCCTTTTTGACCCCTAACTAAATATTTGATAAATCCATTGAGCCCCTGGTCCCAAGGATGCTTCATATCAAATTAAGTTAAAATCCAATCAGTCGTTCAGGAGATAAAGGCTTTTAAGGGGAAAAGTTGACGCCGGACGCCGCGGTACGGCATAAGCTCACTTGCCCTTTGGGCAGGTGAGCTAAAAACTAAATGTTGGCAATTCATATCAGCTCACATGATTGTATCACGATAACATTTGAACATTTCCGACTTGAACGAAGTACAGACACCGACTTTACCAAAGTTCCTAGTATTCCACGACCAAGTGCCGTTGCTTTCTGCGCTGATCCAAAAGTCCAATAAAGCTTACAGATGTACAAAATGTACCTGGCCTCTGATTTGGTATATCACTGCCTTCTGATTGACAAATTTTATCAAGAACAGCTGCAGCGATTGATACTAAACTCAGTACAAATTTTCCAAAAGATGTCCCGACCAAAAGCAAGTGTTATTCCTTTTCATCTTAACAAGAAATCCAAATGGTCGGCCTGACGTCTGATTGGCGGAGATAATTTCGACTTCTTCTCTAGCTCTAAGGTCTAACACATGTGAAAATTAATTATATACTTATCCCAGTTTAGCACTTCCCCACAAACCAGTTCTATTACATTCTTCATATGATACAGTGTTTAATGCTTAGCCTACATATACATATTTATCCATACCAGATTCATCTCTCTGACTAGAACAAAGGCAAACAGGAAAAGGAAATATATAATACATTTTTATTATACACAAAATACAGTCCAACTTCCCATACACCATTCCTTTAACTAATGTACACATTTTTGCAAATTGCTTAAGCTTCCTTCTATAAAACTTCTACCTTAAACACTTCCTGCTTATAACAATTTAAACACTGCCACACACTCAATATCAAAATTCATTTTCCACACATATATATAACTTAACATTCCACACAAACTCAATTCAGCTCAATCATCAATGATAAACTCTCTTATTTTCATATCATATCCTCGTACACTTGTCTATCATACACAGCACTCTACCCCCTATCATACAGAGTAAACATATCCTCGTACACTTGTTTATCATACACAGCACTTTACCCCCTAGCATACAGAGTAAACATACTTATTTAAGCAGTCATCGTATTTTGTTTTTCATCAAAAATCTACAATTATTGTGTACCACTAATTTTCTTTTTGAAGGACTTTTGGTCAAATCCTGAATTTCATTTTCAAAACTTGAGGAGTCCTATTACAAAGATGTACATGTACATTTGAATCAGGTTGTCAATATGTGGGTTAAATAAATTGAATATCAACAAAGGTCTATGATTAGTATGGATTGTGTTTATAAATGTTTCAAGGGAGATAACTTTTAATTTGTGCCCTAATCCGGCCTCAAGCTCTTAGTTACAGCATAACAATGTTTTAACTTTCTGAAAAGAGTTTTTTTTAAACATTTTTGTGATGGCTATTTTTTCAAACATTTTTGCGATGGCTAATAGCTCACTATCCTCAACATGCCCATAGTGTATATATACAATTATAGTATCAAAATGTTAACAAAATATATTGAAAATGATCAAAATTAATACCCATACATTCAATGCATGGTTTTGACCATAATCAGAGATCTTCATAGAGTTGGCTGGAATATGTGTACTATTTTATACCAGGTTCCAAATTATAGGTTCTATATTATCAAAATGCTTTAGTTTATTTTGTAATCCTCTGAATTCATTTAAATGTTTGGATGTCTTTTTAATCTTCAGATGATCATACAAAATCTTGACACCAGCAAGTTTTAACCATAAATATATGCATCTATTATCAACAAATTCTTTGATTTTATAAACTAAACTTTATGCCTGTTTACCTTACATTACTTCAATCAACTACTCTGTATTAGTAATTTTGCCCAATAGCCAATAACTCTAGTGTTAAAGAAATTCCTAACATTTACAAAAACACGTTTATGAGATGTAGAAAATTAAATTGATACATAACGATAATTCAAAAGAGATAAAATTATAAAGTAGGGTGATGAAGATATATCTAGACATATGTTTCATGAAGAAAAAATGTATATGATTACTTACTTGAAAAATATTTTGAGAAAGTGAGTTACCCATTAAAGTTTTAATGCCCAACTGTGTGATGTGTGCTGAGCATTTATCATTGAAACATTATTTATGCTGAACGAAATAACATTGTGACTGATGTCTGTAACCAATGGATTATGTATGAATATTGTCGGTTATAACGAATCAGTGATGATGCAGACATGCTGGTCATTGCATTAACATTTCACGGGAATGGTCTTTATACCAAATGTATTTTCGGTGTCTTCCTTACAATAAGGAGCATACAGTATTACATAGTATAGATGAATTCTTATCTAGCAACGAAACTGATCAAATGAAACATGCATGATCTTCAAAATTCCGGTGCCATCTGACCCTATAAGTAAAACAATACCACTGAAGGCTGAATCAGTGCTTTGGTCCATTTTACATTATATGACTGTTACCAAGTAATACACATGTAACAACATTTCACACGTCTTCACGAGCTGTCGCAGATAGCAATTATGTGGACGTAAATATCTACTCATGGACCTTGTTTACTTCTGCCGGGCTTTATAGATAATATTCTCATGTTTCACAGAATGAGTTATGGCCCTTGGATTTGGGCTGGTTAATCCTAAGAGTCCTAGGCCTGCCAGTCTGCATTTGGTCAGAAAGTCTTTCAGCTGTTTGTTTCACCTCGTCGATCAATCATCGTCCTGGACATTCTGTGTCATAGCTGCATTGACCATTGTGGCCAGATCTTCACCACTAGACTTCAATCTTTCTCCTAAGGAAGAACAATCAGTTTTGTCATAGAACATGATTTTGTAGGTTTAAATGTACTGTTATAGTTGAGCCCTCAATTTCAACGGTTTTGAGGTGTTCATAGCTCCCACAAAAATTCAGATTAAAACATTACACAGTAGGTATATGGGTAAGGATGCTAGAAATACAAATACTTTAAGTTACGGTAAATTGAGAATATGTACAAAAATCTGAAATTTTGAAAAAACAGTTAACAATAGCATTTTTGATTTTGGTCCAAAATGTTAGTCACAAAATTTTGTCCATGTAATAAATCTAACATATCTCTTTTTCAGCAAGCACAAGGCTCTATTATATATATTTGTACGTACCCATTAAATGAAAATCAATTGATGCACTTGTAAAAATATTGGATTTAAATCCTGTTGTTCTAAGTATGGTCCGAATTATTCTGACGTTTTATAGACTTTTTCATATCGGTCTGTTGTCGATTAACGTCAGAACTCCGGCCCTCTATAATATGCGGGAAATATGCGACCCGCGCCCGGAGCACACTTCAAAATGATATTTTAGAAACAAATCGTCACTTTCACACACATGTCGCACATGGATCGAAAGATCTATTCTTTATGCGCAAGTTGAACATACATAACATGCCTCAAACAACCAATACAATCACTTAAAACATATTCTTTCAAACTTACTCTGTTTTACTCTAGTTTTTTGATAGCCCCGCCTTCTAATGCCACGTGACTAAAATCTCACCAGCCTAAGTCATAACGTTGGGAAATACCTTCGGTAACGCGAGATCTCGTCAAGTCATGTGACATTGCTCATGGCCTAATTTCCATTAAAAACATGGGTTGGTATAGAAAACGTTGGAAAATACTTTTCGTAATGATCTTTGAAACATGTTATTGATACCACCTAGTGCATAAAGAATAGATCTTTCGATCCATGTGCGACATGTGTGTGAAAGTGACGATTTGTTTCTAAAATATCAGTTTGACGTGTGCTCCGGGCGCGGGGCGCATATTTCCCGCATATTATAGGGCCGGAGTTCTGACGTTAATCGACGACAGACCGATATGAAAAAAGTTGATAAAACGTCAGAATAATTCGGACTATAAGTAATGAATATTTTTATTACTGCAGGTAGCAGACATGCTCTTAATAGATAGGCATAAATTAAGATATTACATCAAACCTTTCTCAGTTTAACATAAACATCCTATACTTACGTATGAGTTCTGCTATAGCTCTCTGAGTTCTCTTTTCCAACTTTTCCAATTTTTTAGCTACATCACGCTTCAAATCCCAGTCTGGTTTTCTTGGAGCCAAATTCATGATATCCTGAAAACAAACAGCATAATAAAAACCTGGTAGTAAACTAAGAGTTCAGAATCATCAACGATAAATAATAACATTTGAAATCACATAATGCTTTCCAAAACATATGGGTTTGCAGGTTAGACACTATAATTGAACAGATTATCTGCTAGTCCTACATCAATATACTTTCTCTCAGGAAACATCTCCATCAAAAAAGTATTCGGCTGTAGGGGGGCGGGCGGGCATACATTTATTGCTGCCAAAAAATATATATTGAAGTTTTAGGAATATTTTGACAAATATCATGTAATATATCTGTATTTCAAGCAAGTTTCAAAAAAAAACTTCTTTTATAATCTTTCTTTCAATCAATAATTGTGATTACATAATATTTTTGCGAGTTCGAAGCACCAGTAAACTTAAGTGATTCACTAGTCCTTGCTGAAATCTACTGGTCTCTGACTAGAGGACTTGTGTTAGTGTCTAACCCTGATTTAACAAGAATGAGAAGTGTTTTGATTTATAAGATATATAAAGCAATTATTTTACAATTCATTGAGAAATATGTTCACTCAAAACAGCATAAAGAATAAAACCCTCAATTTTTGTCAAATCTCCCTGATCAATGATTGGTCGATAATAAAGCAGACTGTCAGACTAATTGATGGTAATGATCATCAGCTAGATGTTTGTTATAATGATGCGGGACGACTAAACGATATACATCACATACTTACCACCTCTTCCACCACTTCTTTAGTTGTTGATGCCTCTAACTGAGATTTAATTTTCTCTGTAACTGGGGAAAGAAAGAAAAATACAATGTATCATATAAGTGTCAGATAACAGGTTTATTGAATGCTTGGTATAAATTACTTCAAAATCACATGAGAAATTGTGTGTTTATATTGTGCAAAATCTTCACTATATAACTGGGATCAATGACAAGGGTCACTATTTCTATTTTCTAACTGTCTCTACTAACAACACAATTTTCTAGTGTCTTCGCAAATTATACTGACTCAGGACTATAGATAAGGGCATATTCTCAAAAAGATAATTCCCTTTAGGCTAATCAGAATCACTGTTTATTTCTGGTTACTCATCGTCGGATACCATACCTATATCTATTTTTGCACCTAAATTTTTTACCCCTCTAGAATTTTTTGGCAATTTTCATGGAAGCACTGTTAAAGTCTAGATAGCTCTCCTATATAAATCTTATAAAATATAAAAAAAAATCTGTTACCAACCTACTTTCCTGATTCTTTCATTTGTAACAGGAAACAAACATTTTTTTGCCCTTAGCTAAGTCAATAACAATCACCTAAATGGTTTACTACTGTTATCAATTAAATTAGACAAATTTACAGTTTTATATCAGTAAGTATACCTAGTACATGTAATTGGGTTTTACTTTTGTTTCCTTTTTGTTTTCTTTTCTTTTTAGGAATGAGGTGGAGGTGGGGAATGAATTAGTTTCTATCATTACCATCTGCTGGCTTAGCCACTGGTATTGCCTGCTCCTTTAAGCTTTCATCTTGGGGTTTATAGCTCCTAAAAACAGGTCTGCAAATAGAAAATAGGGTAATACAAATTATCAACATCAAATTTACTGATAGGCATCATCTCATATGAAATATATTTTGGGAGAATACAAAACATTAGTGTCAACTGATTTAGCTTTCTTCCAGGTCTTCTTTAGGAGGATGCCCTAAAAGTGGCAAAGCCTGTCAATGCTTTTAATAAATTACAAAGTTTAAACCAGACCTCTTTGGTCGAAGGTGATTGGTCTTGATTTATACTTAATGTAACTCATTCGCTTCCCCTGCACACTCTTGAAAATCCAGAAGATGGGCCAAGGACTCAAGCACCCACTTTTGAAGAAACCATAGTGTTGACCCTACAACCTTAACTCTTTGACAGGATTACGTATATGACTATAAAGATATGATCTACTAGCCTATTTCTAATCTTTTCCTGAGATGTTGAGAAGATCATATATTGATGAAAAACATATCAAAAATATCATCGTTTCCAATTAGTAAGGTTAACAAGGGAATCTGTCGTTAAGTAGCATGGTCTAGGGACTTTTGACTAAGAATTATCAACTGATAGTATGGAGATAAATCACCACCAATACAACTATTGATAGGGATGGTCAATTCCTAAATTATCAGCCTTTGGTTTTTGTGAAAATGATTTGCTCCAATCTGCATGTTTAGTTCTTTTATAAAAAAGATCTTCATTTTCACAGATGAAATATCTCATCCTGGCACTTTGGCAACAAGGAGCATCCTGTTTGAATGTAGAAGGCCTTGGAATTGGGATGCAGAAGGGCTGAAGGTCAGGGAATGTCACAGAAATAAAAAAAAATAAGTGAAATTATTTGCAGTGTTAGTGTTTTATAGTAATAAAACATTTCTTCATGTCAATAATTCATTTCCTGTCTAAGATAGATATGATACATATTATATTGGGATGTATAAATGAAAATTAAAGGGGTGGGGTCTCTATTTTGGTGGTGGTGGTGGTGGTGGTG